AAAGTTGGAGACGATAGGAAGTTTTGCAAAATTAACAGTAATTATTTTTCACAACACAGAAGTGAATGTTCCTGTTTGAATAAAAAAGAATTCAGCCCAGTTGTCCAAGCATTAACTCTCGAATAGTTTACTATGATATGGACGCCACCATGTTGCTTGTCACTAACTACCGGCGATGACCAATTGTACGTTCCCGGCATTCGAGCGGCCGACCCAAGAACGACAAATCAAGCTGTTCGTGAACATACTGCCTGAACTCGGCCATTGTGTAGATGGCAATAGTTATACAAGGAGCTTAGACATCGGAGTCCCGCCCTCATACTTGCAGCCCTGGCACTTGAGGGATACTGGCTTTAGTAGAGAGCTATTTTCTCAAAAGAACATCAAATCATGCAAGGGCAAGCTTAGAGTTTAAAGAGAGATTCATACTCAGTGTGAAAGCCAATGCAAACAGAACTATGTGACATCAGATCAAATATTTGTGCTGCAAATTTACAGGAGTTGATCACGTTTCAACATGAGTAAATTTCACCGTGCTTGTTTCGTGACATTGAAGTTGCTTTGCTTTCATGTTCACCCGGAGTATGAAATAGCCTTTAATTTCCATTTTATGGGAGCTTTAAAGGCATGTGACTGTGAGCGACTCTGAAGCCAGACCTACACAGTCAAAATCTGATAAACGACAACTTTTTCCCCGGCTTAGAATTTAGACTGTTGGAACAGATTTTCCTGTTAGCTGATTTTAATGCAAACTTTATCCAAAGTAAGCTAACAAGTATTTAATGCTTCCATGTGTTTTGCTGTACAAGTTTCAATGTCCTTTATTGGATTCCACGATTTAAATTTTAGTTCCGTCCAGTTTATCATAAAGGTGTTTATTACCACAGTGTTTTTAAAGTTAACAAATATTTCATTTGTTGTGAAGAAGTGCAGCAATATATGTATTTCACTTTTGATGCAATAAAGCTTGCGGTGTGTGAAAAATCAATTAAAGGAGAGAACGTGTATATTTTCAACGCCTCTGTACAAATTCCAGCATGGTGATTTTTCTCCAGATTTTTTTCCCCAAGATGTCAAAAATGAAACCATTTTAGGAGTAGCGCAACAACTGTTCTGTAGACTAAATGTATAAAATGCACTTGGGGCAGAATTTGCAAATTTCAGCCCTAAGTTTTACAACTTTTTTGGGGGGGGGAGGGCTTCTGCACAGGAGTTTAGGAACTAAACATTCCCTTGTGCTGTCAATATATGTGTATTTGGATAATGGTTAAATAAGTTTTACAAAAATTGTAAGGAGTTAATCACCTCAAAGTGTCTATTTTGGACTGTTAGTTCTTTGGACTGTTTCCTTTTGAAATTTCTAAGAAATGTTCAGAAAGACATCTGAGCACACTGCAAGGTCATGAGAAATTCAAGGCATTGTTTCTGATTTCCCCAGCCCCAACCCCCCCAAAAAAAATTCTCATGAATTTCTTTACCCAAGCTTAAAAAAATTCTCTTTCACTTAACATGTAAATTTTGCAAGCACTAGTAAAATTTGGTAACTTGTGACAAGGTCAACACTGCTTTTTCGAGTATAAAACCAAATGAATCTACCTACATTTTCAGCAAAAAGTCTGAATGGTTTGATGAAATTTGCAAATTCTTAGAAGAACCAGAGAACTGTTGCTCTGCATTTGAATTTCAACTTTGAATTTTCTTTCTGATTTTTGTCGGTACTCAACCAGGCTCAGGGAGTCCAAGGATACCGACAAGTTGATAACCACAATAAGAGCACATTATTTGGGTATTCATTATCTCAAAAATGCAGGTTGTAATAGGCATGCTGGACATGAGATCTGTAGCATCCACACATACGGAGGCCCTCCTCACGCAGATTTGACAATATGGTTACTCAAAAAATAGCCCTTTCCCATAGTTATGGTTGCAGATGGCTCAACAATGTGGGCAACACTAGAAACTGCCTCTGTCCTCCAGTACGACACAGTCATACTCACTGCTGTTTACATTCTGCAGTGTTGTTGCTCTTCATGTGCACCACCCTGTGGTGTTTCTTGCCGCCGTGCCTCGCACCTCGGGACCCTGCCCCGCCCATGTCGTGCCCCGCCCTCGGCTCAGTGTTCTCCTCACCGAGCGAGTTGTCGTCTCCTCCCCCCTGGTTCCGCTCCGCCCCCGACTTCAAGGAAAACTGTGACTTCAGATCCACCTTGCCCGTGGAGCCAAGAACCGAGACGGTCTCGCACATGGAGACCGACTTCTTGGGCTGCTTCTTGACGGGCACGCCAGTCGGAGATACAGTGGGGGGCCCTACGTTTTGATTGGTTGACTTCAGGATGTAGTCCTCCTGCCTCCTGTTTGCTCCTTGTTCATTGGTCGAGATAAATGAGACATCATCCCTCATTGGTGGCTTCTGCTCCAGGGGTGCAGTTTGATTCCCATCCACTGCAGATGTTCCTGATGGAGCGTTTTCCCCGTTGTTGTCTTCAGCCGCATCTGTTGTGAGGACATCTTCCGGTTCCTTGACTTCCCTATCTGAGGACTTTTGGTTTCCATTTGGTTTCTTCAAGCAGATTTTTTCGCGATAGCTGGTGCTGACTTTAGATTTTGAGGACCCATTCTCTATATAGTTTAATCAAAAGGGCAGAAGGAAGATTTCAATCGAATATTCTTTCAAGTACAACATTTGGAGTAAAAGCTCCTAAATTTAATGAAAGTCGGTGCACTTACAAAGAAATAAACCTCAATTTTGATGTTTGTCAACAGGGAAACTCAGTAGGTTTTAGAGAGAGAGGGGGACATTTTGTGACAACGAATGTGTGGGAACATGAAAAGCCACACCAACGCATGTCTTTGATATTTATGCTTAATTTACAACTCATTCTTAAAAACGAAAGCGTAATTTCACACCAAAGACAATAATAAACTACTACTAATTAGGCAGAAAGTTTCGTGACCATTTTCAACCAACAGGTGGCTACACCATTCAGGAGCTTTTGGTGTCAGAGACTAACAGTCCTAAATGCCCAAGCACCCCCTCCACGCCCTGTTTCTCACCTTTAGCATTCAGCTTCAGCTTGAGCTCGTCCAGCGTGACCAGCAGCTTCATGTTGGCCGCCCTGGTGCGGTCCGTCTCGGTCTCGGCGCTGTACAGGCGCCGCTCGCAGTCCATCAGCTTGTCGCTGGCGGCAATCTGCAGCAGCTGCTGCGTGTGGAGCTCTTTCCTGACCTCTTCAGTCTCTTCTCTGTCCAGTGAGGAAGCAAGGGGGTTGAAATTATCGCTGATATGGGCTCATCCAACAACCAGAACTGGGAGCTGTTTAGCTGCACAACACTTCAGTGCAAGATGTTCAAGCCTGTTTGAATAACTCTAAGGCCAACAGAGGGTTTGCATTGCTTCCATCTTGCAGGCCAGTGCTTTTGTTCCACAGGATATGCACAAAGGAGGTTTCCCTGTGGAACAAAAGAACTGCCCTACAAGATGGCTACCATGCAAAGCCTCTATAGGGTACTGTAACTTTCCATATTTATACATGCCTTTTGCATGAATTAGTAAATAGGTATAGGTCTTTCAATGCCACTGTATCCAGAAAGTAGAATAAAGTAGTTGAAGACATGTGAAAAAATGCTGTTTTTGCATGTCTTGTTTCTTCAAATCTTGCAATCAATTTTCAAAAATGACACAAATTTGTTTGCTGTGCATTGAGGATCTCTTTGATCAAAATCCGCTCTCATTTGGGGGGGGGATTTTGTTTTTCCCAACTCTTATTTTATAAAAACTCTTACTTAACTGCAACCCCCTAGGGTGTACGTAAAATCACATTGAAATCGGAGGATTTGGGAAAGTTAGGGCTATCAAACTCCAACTCTGTTGGAGGTCCAGATTTTATCTGGTTAGAAGTTGAGCGAGCTTGTCTAATACTTGGCCATCTTGAGCTTGTGCTGTAAAAACTCCAGCAGGTCGGGTTTGTCTGATTCACCGAATAGTCTCTTGTATTCGTCATACTGGTGACCCATCCCTTCGCTGGCCTGTGGAGTGGAGAATACGTCTAAGTCGTTACAAGTGTAGTGTTATTTCATGAAGAAACTTCAACGTTTGTTATCTTAGCACCAACATTTGCCAGAATTTTGGATATTACGCTGTCTACATTTTTCTCTTCTTTGGTGATTTATTGGCGGTACAAAGTTGTCTCAAAACTAACGATGAAATTTCAAGTTCACAATTTTGAGCAGAAAGCCCCACTAGAAGCATCGTCATCCCCATCGCAGCAACAGTACCCTGCTTCCTCAGGCAAAGCACATGCTTTCAAAAAGTGCACCTTTCAGTAATATTAATAAGAACAGGTTGCCAAGTCAATTTTATATAAGTACGAGGAGCAGTCAGTTGCAAAATAAAGTTTGTCAGCAAATTTCAACTCATACGCCCTTTAAAAAGTAGAACGGAGAAAACGCAACGGGGAAAGACCTTTCCTTTCTCCAACACTTTGATCTTCTCGGTCAGCATGTGAACCTCAGACCGGCTTTGTGCAAGACTCTGCTCCAATCGCTCCCTCTGGGAGGTATCAGCCCGCCCACCGCCCATCTGCAACAGGGCCGCTATTTGGAACTAAAAAAAGAAAAAAAGAAGACCACATCTATTCAGGGGCTTCATCTTTTCAAACAGTTGAACATTTTTAAAAAAAAGCTCAGGCAATGTAAACTGTCTCTTGAGGGAAGAAAATGCTGGACGAACATCGCTGAAATATATTTTTTCTTACGGGTTTTGCGTGTAAGTTTTAACTTTGTAAAACCAATAAGTAAAACTTAACATCTCCCCGATGCAAAGTACATGCATCTTGAAATCGTTGACGTATTTTGAGGAAAAATTTTGCCTCCAAACGTGATCTCAGCAAACACACGTCCACTTAAAAGAAAACTCTGCATATTTTTGTAGAGCAGTGCCTCAGATGATCAATTGTCACTTTCTGTCAGATTTGAATCAGAGCCACATATGGCATGCTTGGCTGATTGAAGAGGTCTGCACTGACATGCAGAAGGGCACAAGACCAATGCCGTATCCAACAGAACAGGGAGAGGGGGGCAACTTGTTCCCCCCCGACAAATCTTTTTATAAAGAATACTTTATAGGTAAGAAAGTAATCAATATATTTATTTATCAAATATTAGCACCAAAACCCCAAGAAAACAACACCAGCAAATAAAAGCAAGGATGTCAGGACCGCAGCTAAGGCTTTTGGTATTTTTTCTCCCCCAACACCATGTTGACTAAGCCCAAAGCCGCACTCACTTCTGAATTTGCCCCCCCCTCCTCGACGCCAAAAGCTGGATACGCTGCTGCATAAGTCCCAAAGAGAGGTTTTTCTTGCTGGTTCATGGCAAGACATCAGGCACACTGTTCTAGTCACAAGATGCCGAGAAGGTGGACTCTCTGCTTTAAGACCTCACACAAATGAGCTTACTCACTCTCATCTTGTGCACCTGCTGTTTCTTCATGTTCAGCTGCTCCTTGGTGGATTGGTACTGCACCCTCAACGATATCATTTTATTCTCTGCTTCCTTGCGCCTGTCCTCCACCTAAAAGAGAATTACCAATGGAATGCAAGCAGTCACAAAAACACCGGCATCACGAACCTTGAGACAAAGATCAAACTTGGGACTAAGGTTTCAAGAAATTCAAAAAAATTTTTTTTTTCATTTGCAAAATTCTGTCATTTGATAAAATTTTGATGCAACCTTCAAAAGCTCACTTATTTCTCGTTTTGAGGCTTGCCATATATTTTGTTGATTTTGCACAGACAAAAAGCAAAACAAACCACAAACATTTTGAGAGATCAAAAGTATTTCATGAGTACATACCGTTTATTTACACTGGGACTTTGTTACAACAGAAATCTCCTTATTTCTAAGTTGTAAAGGCAACCATTTTGTACCTCAGCAAAGAGTGAGTTTCCTTTCTTGTTAATATCAGTGGCTTCCATCTTGGCAATGTCCAGCTGGATCTGTAGCTCGGACACCTCCTCCCGAGTTTTCTACGTGTAAAGTGAGAAAAAATGTTTCAAACCTAAAGCAATTACTGTTCCCACACTGAAATACAGGGGGCTGTATCTTCACTATGGCATCCACTACGTCTTTATAATTCGCCGAAGTACACCAATTGAAAGGACTCCTACATTTTCAAAAACTGATAACTTTCATGACCAACTTTGTGAAGACCTGGCGACTTGGGACTCATTTTTACAGGGCACAAAACTGACATAAGTTCAAGTTTCACCAAAGAAAGCGAGGACCATTTATGAGGGGGTACATCCCAAAAAATCTGGCAATGACTGGCTGTAACCAGGTGATGGCCGCCGTACCTCCAGCAGGTTGAAGTAACCTGTGACCTGTTGTTCTTTCTCCTCCATGTCATTCTGCAGGCTCTGTAGTCGCTGTTTCTGGACCTCATCTGTGAACGCCAACTGCTGGCAGTGATCCTTGGCGTCTTTCAACTCCATGGCTAGGGCATCCTTAAATGCCAGAGAATACAGACAGGCAGTTTTGATAGGGGAAAACTGACACGATGCAGAAATAACAGGTGATTACAAATACATGTACATTTATGCATGCTAGTTCCCACACGTGATTGTGTACAACCAATTTTCAACTTAATGGACACAGAAAATTTCAACTGAATGGGCAAAACAAATTTTGTAACAGAATGGGCACAGAAAAAAAAAATTTCTAATGGAATGGGTACAAAGTTTCCATGTTTACCACTGAGAGCAAGGTCTTGCTGAGAGTCCTCAGCAAACTTGAGCAAAGACGACAGCAACATCATACAAAAACAAACAGTAAATCGTGCAGACAGCAATCGAAATGTTGAAAGTAGAAGGAACAGTCTCTAAGAAACTGCTGCAGCCAACTCGTGGCAAAGTAACTTGCTCAGGGACACAATCCTGACAATGCCCTCCCAGCAGATTACAGAATTGTTATGTTCAGCTCTCGTAGCCAAGAATTGTTTTCAAATGTTTCCCGTTAGAACCAAATCAAAATACTTTCAACTTCTGGCCTGACCTCCGAGGGTTGAATACTTCTAAAAGCCCAAAGCCAAAGTGAAAGACGAAGACGAGATTGGGAGGCCTCTCCACGCCTCCAAGGGGGATGATACAAAGAGCCTTATGCTTCTCCATACCTTGGCAGACTTGACCGTGGTCAGTTTTTGTTGGAGGTGGTCGAGTTGCTCATCGTTCTGGCTGGGTGCCAACTCCATGGAGCTGAGCTTATTGTTGGCTTCTTTAAGCAACTCGTCCTGGTGTTCAATCTACACAAGAAAATTTACCAATGACCAGCACAACGAAAGCAGTATCTCATGCTATGATGATTTGTAGAGGTGTGTAAGTTTCTGAAATGCATCTTGTCGTCGCATATTAAACCCTTTGACTGCCGTGCTAATTTAAATCTTCAATAAAATTGGAAATTTGAATCTCCAAGTACAAGAAGTTACCATCAGTGAGATTACAACAATCAAACACGGCAAGGCAAGATGACACCCATAGACCTCTATCATGGGGAAGCCATCTCGCTTTCTGCCATTCAAAGCAATGTAACCAAACTGAGAGAAAGGAAGGAAAAATAGTCCGTTCCCTTTTATCGCGGTGTGAGGTTGCATTACCATTGCTAATGGGTTTGCAGGGAGCAAGACAAACATGGCAGCATCGTGTAAAGGTCTACAGGACCAAGCGTTGGATTTGACTCCTGATCCTCACTAGACCACAATCCCACACACGCACCAATGCCCGACGATTAATATGTGACCAGTCGCCAAGCAATTTGGCACTGACCCTCTTGCGTAGCTGCTCCTCTGTCATGGCGGCCCGCTCCAGGCTGACCTGCAGTTCCTCCAGCCGGCCGGCCATCCGCTGCACCTCCTTGGCCTGGGCCAGTTCCTGCCTCTCCCTGCCCCGCCAGGCCTCCCGCTGGGCCTGCAGGGCCTCCCGCAGGCCGTCCAGCTCAGCCAGCTGGGAGCGCTCCGTCTGCTCCTTGGCGCCCAGCTTCAGCTGCAGGCTATGCTTGTCCTGCTCCAGTTGCTGAGAGAGAAGGATGTGAAGTTTAGCCTATTGGACCCTTTGGAGGGGATGGGGGTTGAAGGGGGGAGGCAACAGGGGTTATGGCCTCTCTAAAAGGAGCAATTTTTTTTTCTCTCAGAAAAAATTAAAGGCCATTTTTTGGCACTACGAGGCTCAAAATTTGCGGGCGCACGTAGCTAAAAAGTGCCCGTTTGTCTCCTAAATGTGCCCATAAACTATAAAGAGTGCACGCTTGTCTCATAAATGCGTCCCTAAATTATAAAGAAAAGCGAAAGTACCAGCGCCCATTTGTTTCTATTCTTGCTATGAAGAATACCTGAACTTTTTTACTTCAGATCACCCTTGTCATGGAACCGCAACATGAGTACAATTTTTACGATGACACCGAGAGGGGCATGCTCACATGCATGCACAAAACACAGTGCGTTTGCATGCCACGTGTGGCCAGTGTCAAAATCCCCCTGCTGTCCTGCACTGGTCGTGTCTGAATCACTTGGCTATGGCTGGTATTTACACACGATTCTATGGGAACTGGCCATGGCCACAACCATTGACACGTGCGTAAATTCCAGCCACAGCCAAGTGATTCGGACACTGCCTACTGCAGTTAATTCCCTTTTTAAGTGTGTGTATGTGTACGTGGTATAAGCCTGGTGTCCGACTGTTGGCGTCGCTTAGCACATTTGGGGTTGGTCATGTACACTGTATCGAGCAAGCCACTGGACTTTGATTGGTCACAACTTAGCATTTATTTTGTCACTTTGTATGAAGTTGCTTAATTTTGTTGAATATATATATTCAATGGCGTATGAGAGCTACTTGCTCCCGTTAACTGACAATTTCAGCTGTCTAGGGAGCAAGTACTTGCTCTTGGGATGGTTAGCCCAATTTTGAGCCCTGCACTATTCTATTATCCTTTCTTCAAAAAGTGTGCAAATGGCCCCAAAATGTAACCTCGTCCCCAAATACCCCAGAACTGTGGGGTTTGTCTTCCGCAGTGACAGCGCAGAGGATAACAAACTCTGCAGTTCTGAGGGTAGCCTCAAGAAAGACCACAAAGGCTACAGAAGGAAGGCTAGAGGAAGTTTCTTTTTTTCAAATACTCCATCCTTCATCAATACCCCCCCTAGCATTTACCTCCACCCTCTTGATGTGATCCTGGGCCAGCTGCTCCAGGCGATCCTCCAGATCTTGGTTCTGCTCCAAGAGCTTCTTGCCGATCTCAGCAGCCAGCATCAGGTCACCGCCCTTCTGGTCCAGTTGGGCCTTCAACTGTTGCACCTGCTTCTCCAAAGATGTCTCCCCCATCTCCATGGTCATTATCTAGTGCATCGGTTCATTCAGTCAATAGAAACTTGCTGTCACATTAATTCTCTGATGACACAACGGCTGGTGGCTTCTCCCAGACTACTTGCCTGCACAGCTTAAATTTTGTTGGGTTAAATCAATTGGCCTTTTTTTTATTTACTGTCTGTAGTTATTGGCACAATGAAAGTAATTCAAAACATGGTCACTGGATAGTACGATGGGTATAGTTTCCAAACCAAAGCCACCCTGAACACAGGAAAAAAAAAATCATCAAAACATACTCATCACCGGACCTTTGAACTTACAAAAGACATCCATGAAATTGATTATCAAAATCTGCAAAATTTGCAATGTAAATATTTGATATCGGCCCCGTTTGAGGGACAGTGGCAATATTTCCTTGAAGAGACAATGGGAACGGTTGAACAGTCTTGTCAAATATTCAATCAGCCAATTACAATACAAGACTCGGGCCTCGTACTACTCCAGTGAAAAAGGCTGCGCAGTTTGATGATTATGATAGTTGCATTAAATAATAACATGTACAGGATTAGTATCAGTTCAGTGGCTAGCGCTGTGGAAGAAGTAATGTGCAACCAGTTTACGGCAAGCATTCCTATAGTATAGATAATGTTGGGCTTTGCAAAACGTTTGGAGATTTCCTAGGGCTGCAACAGTCAGAGTCAGTCATGTCAGCACACAAAGCAATTAAATAAAATGCAAACATGGCAAAGATAAGTATAGACTGGACAAACGTCAGGGCCTGGCATGGCTGTTGACGAGCACAATCTTTTTGAAACTACCGCACAAATTTTAAATTTGCGCTCACAATTTTGAAAATTTCCAACGAAACTTGCACCTATCAATCAGGATTGCATGGTTCATCATGTTCAGAAAGCAACCGTAGGTTAAAGACTGATACTGTAGCTTCACATGTCATGACATATTGACGAGCCAGAGACCGAGTAACTCGCACGACTAGGAGTAGAACCCTACGATTCGCCTTCAACATGTTTAACTCAAGAATGTCGGCCAATATTAAAACCTTCCTCTTTCCTAGTCCGAGTAACTTCTTGAACTTGGACTCTACGAATTGCCTTTTTTAACATTTGGACATAATAGACAAAGGAGATGAAAGGGAAATATCACCCGACCACGTCCAAATGTTTCAAAAGGCGATTTGTAGAGTCCAAGTTATTCGGACTACCTCTTTCCAACAATCAACATTGTCCAAATAATGGAGTGAAACAAAAATGCCGGTGGACATGGTGGAGAGGCGTCTTACAATTTATGGCGCCCATAACATGTCAAATGGCTACGACGGTACGAGTAAGAATTGCAGCCTTTGGTACACATAAACTCTGTTTGGAATCTGTCAACACACGAAAACCATGTTATTTGTTAACAACTTATTAAAACTTGCCGTTCTAATGGTAGACCTGATTAAAATTTTGCAAGACCTACGGTAGTAATAATTATGCAGGCTTCACGATACGCGGTTTAGCCAGCACAATTTCAAACCGTCCGCTCTGCACATTAGTCTGGTCCTTCGCACACCAATTGCAACTTTATTATCATCATGCAGGTAGCAAGACTTGCCGTCATTTCCATGGCACGCCCTCTCTTGCTTCGTTTTATTCAATTATTTACATTGTGTAGTTTCAATGATTTCGCGGTCATAACGTACCAAGCATATTTTGATCGGTAGCTACGGTTTGGTTACTGGCTTTGAGGTTTAAGTTCATGTACTACTTTACCGTGTGTATCGTCAATCTGGATGGCACAGCTGGAAAGCGTTCATCTGAAAAATCACAGATTGTTACGTGTAATTTTCATTCAACGAAAATTCTCACAGAAAAATGCTGACGATTTAACCGAATCAATTCGCCAAAACACCCAGGCAATGTCTGAACGGTTTCTTCGGCGCTTCACTAAGTTCAACGCTGGCCAGAGTCGTAAAGAGTCTCACTTTTTTTGTTTACTCGGGTCGAGTCGAGTCGTAACGTAATGACTATGATCATGTCGAGTCATTAGACGAAAAAGTTGAGTCCCGTATTTAGTTCGAGTCAATTCGGGAAACCGATAGCTTAAACACAGTATGATTATTAAAAACAAAAGAGAAAGTAATTTTCGTGTTTTCAAATTTACGTCTGTGTTTCTACATGTGGTCACACCATAACTGTGCCATTAATTTAGCAAAATAATGCTGCCGGCACATACATGAGGTTTCGTGCCTTCCCGTCAGCCTCTCAGCTGGAAAATCGTTTGGGACACATCTTGGATTTTCTGTGAACAATGCAGTTGAGCAAGTGTGTCAAGGAATGGGGGCCAGATTAGGGCCCCAGGTGCGTCAGTCGTAGGTCCAATGACGCCAGTGCTCCATGGGCCCTTGGCACCACAGGCTCTTTGGCACCCATGTTCTGTAGGCTACTCCGGCATTAGTGCTCCTTCGGCCCCTTTTTTCTCCAAGGACAGCCATCAATTTCACACAGTTGGTCGACAAAGGGGTCTCCTCATTTTTCATTGCCATTAAAACTTTCCCAAGATTGAGAATCCGTGGAAAAATACGCCAAAAGTTTAGAACACTTTGTATGGTACACCCTGCATGCGGTAGGCCTTTAAAGGTTTCGTTGGTCCTCTTAGGCCCTAGAAATAGTGTCCATTGTGGCTGTTGGATAATCCAGCCCTGTGAGGAACCATGCTCCTCTATGGATGAGAAAAACTCATTGCAATGTCCCACTTCTATCTCCCCCAAGAGAAAAAGAGGTAAAAAGTGTTCTGAAAACAAAAACTTACATTTTACAAACTCGGATCATTCTTTCTCAACAAAATATTTCCCGATTCCTTCAATTGGAAACTGCTCATTTCAGAGATAGTCACTCCAGGGAAAAGTTACTTCGGTTGACCAAACAACAAAGAGATAAACTTAATGGAACGTTCACAGCTACCTCAGCATTTGTGAGGCACACTCAACGGACGAAACATATCCTTCGAAATTAACTTTGACATTAGGCTTTTCTCCGGATCAATCTGCCAGTGGAAAATAAGTTCAAACCAAACATCATAAAGGGTATGATCTTTTGGTTCATTCCCCTGTCGATGTTTGCCAGTTACCTCACAGTGCCGAGTAGAAGCCATTATGTGCATATATATAAAAGACAGACGGACCACTAATCCTACTTACATGCAAATACCAAAATCCTTTGTGTGGCTGATATTGATACCGTTTCAGCTGAAATGACTGAGTGACCCAGCCCAAGGCAATTACCTGAAACAAGTGAAGCAACTTTCGACCTTTCATAATATCGGCTGGTGTTAGTCCAAAACAAAACAGAAAAAAATAACCAATGAAAGTTACAACACACACATTTATGTCTAGACTTAATGACCCGATCCTTAGCTACATACACAGGGCGAACCCCCTCCAAAAAAGGAAACCACAAAATCACATATATTTTCTGCTAAAATAATTGTCAGGAATAGTTGGTTTTGGTGTAAAATTAAAGCTTAGGTTTAAACGTTGCGCGCCTTGAATAAAGGCTATATTCATTTGTCTCTGTCACAACTTCATCTCGTCTGGTTTTAGCAGTGAATATTTAACAGCTGAATGTGGAGCTCAGTCGAGTTGAAACGAAACGAAACCTAGTCGAATTTTTTGATAATGGCTACTGGTTGGGTTAAATACCTTGACTCGGACCTATTGCTATTTGTAAATACACGTACGAGTGTGTAGAGGGTTAATACACATGGAGATGTTTTCACGATGGGTGAACATGCCCGTCTATCAATGGTTTGGGAATTTGGACACATCTTGGAAATTGAGGCAATGTTAGTTAAACATTCATAATTTTACCCGTTCCGCCGTAGGTGGGGCGAATTCAGTTCAATTTTCTGTGCCCTTACGTGCACCCCTTCCACCCCGCCAAAAAAAGATGGAAAACATGGACTGACAACCTAAATCTGGTCGACAAACTTTGGTCAATTTTTCTCTAAAATAATTCCAAGACTCCTTCGACTGGAAACTTGAGATTTCAGAATACAGTCACTTGAAAGCACAATAACTTCGGCTGCTCAAAGAAAAAAGTTTAACTTAATGATTCTTTGATCTCTACACGAACAGTTAGCATTAATTCCAGCACACTTTATGGACCAAAAAAGGTTACCAAACTTTTTCCCGGGAATAGTCTGCCGGTGAAAAAAAGTTCAAGCATTCCCCTGTCGACGTTGCCAGTGACATATCTTTAATATGGAATAGATGCTTATAGTTATGTACATATATATGTACAAATAGACTCGCAGGCATTACTTTCTTCTTTTAAAGACCGACGGCCACTAATGCTGCCTCTATACTTAAAGCCTTCGTACCATGCATGGTATTAACCGATTACCGTTTCAGGCAACGTGACCGATTCGGCCAATTCAAATACAAGTGGAGACATTTTCGACGTTTCATAAAATCGGCCGATGTTTGTCCACGTTAAAATAACAACAAAGTAAACTTTGACTCTAGTTCAAAACTTTAGTTAAAATTTATGAAACACAGATTTATGCCCGGACTTAATGACTTGAACTATAAATTTGCACAGCTAACCCAAAACCCCATCATGCATGATCGTTGTCATTATAGCCTCGGGAGCCAAGATGGCATTTTTGCTGAATCTGGTCGGAAATCCAAGACAGCTGAGATCAGGCGCCTAGCATTTTCGCTGTCTGTATTTTGCTTCATCAGTGTTTGCATTTTCACCTCTATAGCAGCGAGCCGACTTTGCTCCGTCTCCTTGCGATTGGTTACCATGCAAACCTTTTGTAGCTAGGCTATACGCGAAAGTTTTCTCGCTATTTTCAGGCTCCATTATGAAATCTGAAGTTTTTTTTCATGGTGGAGGTGGCATGCTGTTGTGATGGGTTTGCGGTAGCACCATGTAAAATTTCCCTTTTTGAGTATATGTGGGCCTGATAAGAACCGGAGAGAAGGGACTCAACATTTCGAACACGACGGACAGGGCATACTGTTCGAAACGTTGAGTTCGGTGCGTTTTCCATGAAGAAGTTATAAGGGGTTTCCTTGGTACATCTAAGGAGGCATTAATCATGAAAACAAAGCCTAAGCCGAGTGTCAAGACTACTTCTGTCGGGTTTAGCGTCCTTCGCCTTATATTTGTGATTTTTTTTTCTGACTTAAACTGACTTCAGGTCTACTTTAAAGGCCACCGCAGCTTGGGACGTAAAACACTGCGAGGCGAACAGAACGGAAACTATGACACCGGTCTTGATCGAGTGACTGACAGGCACGAGTCAATTTGCAGGCCTTTTCGGTGTTACATAGCCTCCACTCGATTCTCTGCATGGTTTCTCCGCTATGTCAAAATGTGACTATGGACTGGTAAAGAGGCTAGCTCCTCTGGCGTTGATTCTGGGTACCCGAACTTGGAAAATAATTGAAAAGTTAATAGTGCACTTATTAATGAACATAATCTTCTTGTAGACACAGCAAGCTCAAAGCATGCGCAGTACATGAAGTTCGGAAGCGTCACTGCACCCGTCGGTGTCGGCCTTGTATTGTCAGACCACAAATACATGTACCCGAGTTACTCGGCTACGACCTGGAATCACGCACGTCTTTACTTTAGCGCCCACAGCCACTATGATAGACTCGTGTCTAATTTCAAGCCACAACCAAGTAACTTGAACATGAGCTTGTCCCTTCACTTAGGCCTGTCAGGAGTTATGGATTTTCATATTGTCGTGGCGAGGCATCGGGTACTGCTGTGTGACTATGAGTGTTCTTGACTGTACTTTCTTTGCTTGTTGGTTCCTTTCATCATATTTCCCCATGTGTCCTCTCGTTTTTTTTTTTTTTGGGTGTACGGCGTGGATCATGTGATGAGCAGAAGCAAAAGAGGTTCCTGCCACCATCAGATAAAACCCGCCCTGGCGCCCAAGTACCGCTGCATCACTTCCCCCCACCACAACCGGTCCCCTTGTTTTAAGTCTCACCACACTCACCGCCCCCAACGAGCCAGTCAATCCTTAATAAGTCCGACTTCCGGATGCTGCACTCCCGAACATAATCCGCGGCGGTGCAGATCGGCTAATTTTGGGCAAGGAACGGCTATGAATAGTCGACTAGCCGACGAGGTTTTGTTGAGTCCGGCGCTTAGAATAGAAATTCTCCCGGCTCGGAAACCGGCACACACACACACACTTGCACAGTGAGTCACGACAGACCAGACGTCCGGTAGTTGGATTATATATTTTATTTGGGGCAAACTTTCCGAGTGCAGTGGGCTGATATTGGTTCTTTACTGTTGTGCTTAATGGTGCGAACCAACATTGAGTTGAACCTGAAGCAAGTATTGAGAGCCATTTCCAATCAAAATTGCAACAAGTAAATCTCGTTTAATACTGGAATGTAATGTCAACCCAGGAAATCGGAGTTCTCCATTGATTCATTATCTAACTTAAAGAAAATTCCCAGAGGTATATATCATTCATGGAATTTTTTTACTAATTTACTTAGAAGTAACAAAAATTGCGATAAAAATCCCGCCATAAGATTGATAGTCAATAGCGAATCTTTCTGGCCAATAGTAACGTCTTGGTTAGTTGACATAAATCTTCGCTGAGGAATCTTAGCCCATTCTTCTGCAAACTTCTTCAGTTCATCCAAATTTGAACGTTAACGAGCATGGATGGGTCTAGACCCTTGAGCTCATGTTACATATTCTCGACGGGATTGAGATCCGGGATACTGGAGAAGGCTACTGCGGCCCCTTGATTTTTGTTTTCCTTCAAAAAAGTTTCGGACCAACATTCAAGTTTACTTTTGGTCGTGATCACGCCCTAAGACCCAACGGTGATCTAAATGCAGTCTGGTAGTAAATCAATTTCGTGTTGCTTTCTTGAAAACTCCAGTAAAATCCGGTCTCCTTTCGGCATGGGTCTATACACGAACCTGAACAATTAAGGTTCCCACTACTTTAAAGGAACAAGGAAAGAGAATTTTTTGTAAATTGTACTAAAATCCCTTAAAATTTCATCTTTGGGTTTCAATTAACCTTATTTAAATTTTCGTTTTGCAATTTTAACCAATATTTGGTTTTATGCTAATGTCATTTGCATATTCATAACAGAACGATGATGTCATCCAAGGCACTGAATCTCTATGTTGCACTGATTTGTGCACAGAAAATTTCTCGATTTTTTTAACCGCTGCTATGGCAGATTTCATTTTCTTTGGCAATGTATTGCTGTGTAAGTATATGGCAATAATCCAGCAAAAATCCTTTTCACAAAAATGTTCCCAGATAGCAAATTTGGGGTTTACAATTTGAACATGAAAACATGCAACCTGAACCATGTCTTCCTGGTTTTACACCAAAGCAAAAGCGCCTTCACTTGTCCAGAAATTCTTTGTCACTTTTTGATGTTTGAAAACGTGCACTGTTCAGTTCACGTAACTCAAAAAAAGATGTCAAACAGTCTTCATACATGGAAAGAGAGTACAGAGATACACAAAACGTGATTCTAAGAAAAAATCATTTCCTGGATCCTTTAAGCAGGAAAACAGCTGTACAGGGAATAAGGTACATGTACACGACGCGATTTTTGACTGTGGGAACTGTGTTCTTGCACAGATGTCGTTCAGACTAGTACTATCTCCAGAGATAGGTCTGAAGTTAGTTGGCTCCACTTCAAACAGTGTCATTTCAAGACAATCCTAAACCCACTTCTGGCGCTAGCTCCAGAGCTAGCTGGCCTCAATTCTAGCCCCTAAACTTTGTGGGGTTAGCTCCACTTTACGCTAAGCGCAATTTCTTTTATAACCTAGTCCCACTGTTTTTGTCGATTGAACAGGGCGATTGGGGACCCTTCCATGGTTACCTGTAACTCTACTGTAGCAACTCTAGATCCAGAGTTACTGTCACATTTGATCTGTAATTTTTATCTAAGTAAACATAAGGTTGAACAAGTCGTTTGTATTAATTGAATAAAGTTTCCTGTAGAAACCAGTGGAGGATACGTATGTGTTATTTCCCATTCGTGTCCTTTGTGCAGTACCACAGTTGTGTGTTCCAGTCAGTTAATACAAGGATTGTACTTCACATTTTATTTTTTTCAAGAGGTGTGTTAGCATCAAAGCTTCATAATAGAAGAATAACGATTTTACAAGACCTTTGAGCCGAATGTAATTTCAAAATGGGTCCAGTCTGTCAATTCGATATGCCAGACTAAGAATGTTGACTTTGATCAAGCTCCTGGGACAAGAAAATCATCACTCACAAGTCCAGTTTAGTACCATTACTCCTTACTAGAAGTTGATTAACTTTTAGTTCAGTTTTGTATCAAAGTTTGTAGATCCGTCTTTATGACTGTATTTAAGCTCTAATCGTGTGCTTTACTGCCAGATCCTATAAAAAAGAACTCTGGTTTGAGAACTAAAATTTGAAAATGAGATTGAGTGATGTCGGTGTATGGCATTATAATCCCGGGTTTTGAAGTCTTGCATCATTTCCAAGTGTGCTGCATGCGATCAACTTTCTGTGGTCCCTGACCAATGGGAGACAGAGGAATGGGCGTGACTATCGTTTCTTTGTGGGGTTGTGGACAGGAACGAGGGGAAGCAATGCACAAGGAGTAGTTGTCTGCCTGAGCATCCCCGACTTCACCGAGAAATGTGATGGAATGTGACATCCTAGAAACAATTTAGAATCAGTAAAGTGCTGTTCAAGGATTTTTCTGCAATGGCTTATTTTATGATATTGAAAGATTGAGCATCAAGTCGCCCGGAATAACAGATTTCAATATGTAGTCTTAGTTGGAGGATTTTTTTAGATTGATCATAAAAGTGTTAGAAATAGTAGATTTCAGTAAGTAAATGAGTTAGTCTAACTTTGAGGATTTTTTGAGGGAATCGTTGTGGAATTTAGTTTTGTGAAAGATTGAGAACTGTGGATTGGCATCTGCTTAAAGACTGAAAGTTTGAGACTTATCGGAAGTTTTCAAGACTCAAAAATTTGGACGGAGTTGGAACAAAGAGTGATCTGCTAGAGTGCATGTACACTTTAAAGCCCCTTGGAGATCTGTATGTGCGGGAAAAGGTCAGTTGAAAGATGAAGTTAACTCGTTGCAATCGAATACACTGAGCGACTGCCCTGATTAATTTCCAAACCTTTTAGACATAATTACAAGATCAAGGCTGGCACCGGTGGCTTGTGCGTATTGCTCTCGCCTTTCATCAACGTGACTGCATGTGGTCCTGGGTTCGATTCCCGGCTGGGGCCATATGTGAAGGTGTTTTCTTCCGGTTCTCAGGTTTTCACTCCATCACAATTAACTCTGACGATCTCCAGCTGTGCTCCGTGGTTAAACACGGGTGGTCTGGCGGCTGCCAAAGGCGCCCTTGTGCATTCGCCTCGACCACGTTAAATATTCTACTTTCGCATTTCAGCCTTCCGACGGCAAGTAAGGATGTTTCACCTCCCCCTTTTATTTTACTTCAGTGAGAGCTGGTGGGCAGAAGGCCGCAGTTCAACATTTCAGATAGAATATCCAAAATACTCTTATTCTAAGTAGGCACTCCGAAGCCTGTCGAACACGGGCATGTCAGTAAAGTCTACTTACATATAGGAAAGTATTGTTTCCCCACTCTTTATGACAGTTGAATGGTGGAAGCATGTAAAACCAGTCCGTACTTTTCTCTCCTTTTGTCACCGGTTTTGTCAAAAAAAATATTCACACGTGGCCTACCTATAGTGCGTGGCACCAGGGATTTACATTTCATTTTCCCCTTCTGATGTCAGACTATAACGACCAAGTGACCCGAAATGTCACCACTAATGTTCGCCTAATCAATTATCGTAAAATTACGACAATGACGCGTGATCATGTCTCCACTTGACGTCACTCGTTTTGTTTTTTTTCATTTGGGTTGTTGTGCGATTAGATCCGGGAAAGAGCCAACACCCAAGGTCTCGTTTATTGCTTCCAGTTTCGATTCTTGACACAAAAGGGAACTTATAATACGCCTTTATAGCTTAGAAAATTACTGATTAAAGACCCACGAGGCGACATTTCTCTCGACCTTTCCCAGTTTAGTTTAAAAGGCACGCATCGGGAAGGGAATTTCAAGGTGTATGACGTAATTTTTCGGGTATTGGATGGATTTCATATGAACAGTAACACGGGCCAGCACTTCCAGATGCACTTGATATGTGGGCACTTAAGGGTGCACTGAATCAGTTATGCTCCATTGAAAATAGTGTAAAATCAACCAAGTCTGGAGCCCCATGGCAGACAACTGAAGTCCCTGATGCCTCTCAAAAAAATATGCTGCTTGGTCCGTCAGATTTCATTTGATTTTCAATTTTATTAGGTTAACAAATGAATTTTTTAATTATCCGCCAAAAACAAACTCACCCCCCAAAAAGTCAGCGTTCTCAAGTCTTCTCAGCGGCCATTTTTCAAATGACATCTCTCACCTTCCTCGGGCTCTTCTGACTAATTTTCAATCCCATTTTTGTCTGCTTTGCCCCCAGATGGGTGCCCCTGAATCTACAGAGATGATCCCGGGCCATACTGGCACAATCCCACCATTTCTTGGCCCAGACAGACCCCTCTTTTCGAAAGAATCTCTGGGGATACTTTTTGTGCGCCTTCGCGTGGCGGAGAATTTTCCTTGAATTGGGACACTGCAACCTAAAATGAATGTAGGCCTATTGATTACGGGCAGTGAGAAGACCACAATGCTTTGGGGGTCGGTAGCCGTGACGTATTTCCACCACAACACTCTGTGCGGGGCTCTTGTCCTTTCCGGGCCCAACGCCCAGCACTGAACGGGCTGGCCGGGCCGAACAAGGGGGACCACATGCCCTCTGGGGTCGATCAAGCTTTCCAGTATCTGTGAAGGCGGGTAATTCGAATTTTACTTGCCGTAACCATAGCGTTTCAATTGCAGCCGTCTGTGACCGACGAGCTGGTCTTCCGTCAGTGATGTGGGGAGCCCCTTTTTTGTTGATCGACAGTCACCAACTGAGCCCGAAGGGCGGCAGTTGTCAGGTGACTTTTAAAGAAACCTTCACGCGGATTATGAACCTGTTTCGATTCCTTGGTCAGCCAAAGCATTCGTGCATGCACATTCCCTGTATTTGCCAACAATGGCTTTGTTTCGTGACATACTCCTGAGACTGATGACGTGTGTAAAGAAGGCTCTTTTTATTTAGCAACGTGCTGGACAATTTCTGGGGAATATTGCTTATGAAAGAAGTCCCCAGCAGTTCTGTAACTTCGACACCGAAAGTGTGACAGGCGTCTTAACTGACACGAGTAATACATCCTCCAGATTCAATAAAAGCTATTCTTTATTTTTAGACTCTGTTTTACACGATTGAAACAGCACATCACAAATAAATTCTGTTTTACATCAAACTTCAAGACGAAAAAATAACTTAGAAATTATAAAATAAAGTTCCTCAATATAATTATAAGCCACGTCCAGCGTGAAAGACAACACATCTTTGTTACCAAACTTACAGAGTAACTGTAAACGCACAAGATTACGGAGTTCTATACACAGACACGTTATAAAAAAAATTCAATATTACAAACATAAAATTGGCCAATTTGGTCATTTTTAAAAAGATCTGCTTTAAATTCGGCCCACGACTATAATACAGCGGCTTTCTTCAACTTTGGAATTTTGAAGGCAAGGAGCGATTTTTCTGCATACAAATGGTTTAGGAAAGCTAGAAACTTGAAACGAAGACAATTTTCTTTTAAACAACAAAATGCTCAAATATGGCCTAAGTTTGGCAATATTTCTACAGCGACTGAGAGGTTTGTCTCGGCACAATACAACTTTGCCTTGGAGAAAACGTTTAATCAATTTGGTGGTAAGCAAAAATATCAGGGCACCGAGACATGTAAGAAACTCTGTTTCTATTTCATTTGACAAGTAATGCATTGGACAGTCTAATGTGCTCATGGACTAAGACAATACGAACAGGCATGGGTCTAGTTATGGTAACGAGGTCAGAGCCTCGTTCCGTTGGTACCTCTGCAAATTTGGCGAATTCGTACATTCAACCGTATTGTGGAAATTCCCCCTTTTCACGTGACATTTTTGCTTGTCCCCACAAGGGGAAATGCGAGTGAAATACTATCTTAAAACAAAACAAAAACGAAACTGCTTTCTTGCGCTTCTTGTTCCCTTTTTACTCATCTCTTCCAGGCGATAAAATAATGCTGCTTGTTTATCACATTCTCTTATCAAGGTATCGTGTTTTCTGACGCCGTAAATTCCGGACCCATTCTGTTTCCCTCTTCTTCCCTTACATCCGTGTTAACCTAACGACCTTATTTATGTCAATGTTGGACGAGCAAACAATGTAATATATAATCCACTTTAAGTCTCATAACTTCAGCTATCTTTCGACTCATCAACTAATATCACAATAGTGTTTATGAACAGCTTAATGGTGACGTAAGTTTGAATGTCTGACAGGTATTAAAAAGTTTGATTTACATGCATGTTGCCAATATCCTTCACAATAAAAATGTGATACAAAAATTAAAAACAGAACAGTCAGGAAACACTAACATCAAGCGAAAAACTTTGCCAGTGAATTTGACGGTGCTGTTTAAGAAAAATTTTGATTTGTGTTGTTTGGAGCTGTAAACCAAGGCGTCCCAAACAGTCAGTGGCAACAAAATTCAGATTTGGTGCTCTTGCGGGGTCGGTTTGGTTTGGGGGTTAGAGCAAAAAGGAAAGACTATAAAACAAATGGGTCTACAGTTTATGCTCGCATATAAAACTTTGTGCAAGGATTGGCTCTTTTTTTTCTCGGTATATGAGCAGGCACGGCTAGTATCAGCGTTCATATTGGTGCATCGCAGCCGTGTCCGAATAAACATGTAGGCTACGGCTTGAAATTGCACAGAAGTCTACAGCAGTGGCTGTGCAGCCAGTTCCCATACAGTCATGCCATTTCCAGCTCCACCCAAGTGATTTGGACGCGGCTATACACTCGGCAATGCGGAAGGACTTCGTGAAAAACTGAGAGTGGAGGAGGCGGGAATCCGACGGTAAATACCCCTCTAGAGTTATGAAAGTCCCTGCGTGTGAGTGTTATACCTCTGTGTGACCCTAAAATCCGGGGTCAGGACAGTTCCGAAACTGATACAAGCGCATCCGGAATGAACAAAAAACATGTCCAAGTTCTAAACAGGACCTTCGAGCCAACTCACATTTTTACAAAAATATAATGTCATCTTATCCTGGCAAAAATAGTTCTCTCTCCCTCTTTTCCTCGAAATGTTTTGAAGGCACAGCCTTTATTTACAGTTCCAAATGCCTGTACCGTTGTTACCACCCTAATTAAACGATACGCCACAACAGCCAAATTAAGTTATTTACAATACTTTTTATTTATGGAAATCACCATAGAAAACTGATGTTGGAAATGAACAAATTCTAGAAAGCAACCAGACGACTGTAATTTCCAACTGAGAATTACAGAATTCTTACATGAAAAGCCGACATATACATGTACACAGCAGTTTAGACGATCTTGTGTACTTTCGACCAAATGCCCACCTAACCTGCCGACCTGCCAAAAACCGCTGGTTATTTCCAAAATATAAACGGAACCTTTATTTACTAGACTTAATTCAAGTCGGTTGTTAGTGTGTCAGTCGCCATAAACGACTCGGCACATTGACGTATGTAACTTATGCGTGGTAATATGCCCTAGCTTGCTGGGATTTGTAAAACAAGTAATTTCGCCCGGAACAGCCGACTTGAATTAAGACCAGGAGCCCTCGGGAAATCGTTTGAAACTTTGGCCGGACATGGCGAGATTGACTGATCGATTGATGATTGGTTGAGCTATCGCGATTTAAAGCTAACTGTTCAATTCTGTGCGGCTTAGGGCACAACAATTGGTTTGGTCGTCGTTGGTGAGAAAACCACAGCTGTGGGAGTGTGGATGGGCATCATGCCAGACACTGACACAGGTGTACCGGTTAGTCCGTTGATAATGGCGGGAAACTGGAATGTGTTCATTTGGGAACTCACAGACGGACTGAGAGCAAGAGGGCTCAGCGTGCTCCAGAAATGGAGTGGTACCAAGGGCGTGCCGCTCTGGCCGAATAAGGGGCTGGCCACCATGATTGGTGTTCCGGGCAAAGGGGTGTGCGGTCCGCCGTAGCACGGCACCGTCAGCCCGTTGTTCGTGGTAAGAAAAGACGGGCTGGACGAGGACATCTTGGTAGGCATAGTGGTGGAGTAAAAGTCACTCTTAGGCGTCTGCAAGGTGGTGATGGGTAGGGGCTTGGGCCTGTTGGTCGAGCTGCTGGTGACCGTGGCGGTGCTTGGGGTGCAGACGGTGGTGAAAGGCCGACCGGTACTGGTGACCAGGCTGGGCTCGACAGTCAGCCTTGCCTCCGAGCCGGCTCCGCTACCTGACGGCATGGGCCTGGGGCTGGCCGTTATCCTACCGTCCTCGCCTCCTCGGTGGTGATGGTGACTGCCGCCGCTGCCGGCGATCAGCCCCGCTGCCGAGCTCCACTGCTTCTGTTCCTGGGCTCCAGGTTCCTCGCGGTCCTCGCTAGCGTTGTGCTTTTTTAAATTCAGTGCCGTCTCGTGCGTGTCAGGGGTGGCGCGCTTGGGCGATCGTGCCAGCGGACTTGGCACGTACCTGGGCGACTCCCGGTGATGGCGGTGGTGTTGGTGGAGCTGGTGATGAATGTCGGCCGGACTCTTCCTGCCTGCCGTGGTCACCGTGATCCCCGGGTAGCTCTGCGGTCGCGCGGCCGTCGAGGCCGCCGCTGCTGGGGGCGGCCCGTCCAGCGTCTCCATCTTCACTCGGAATGGGATCTTGTTCTCCGTCTTGACGATCTCCGGGAAGGAGACGAACTTGTAGACAAACTTCTGACCCATGACCTTCTTGATGATGTTCTTGTCGTAGTAGTAGCGAAGGGCGCGGCTGAGCTTGTCGTAGTTCATGTTGGTCTTGTTCTTACGGAGCCCCCACATGCGGGCAACCTCCTCCGAGTTGTTCAGCTTGAACTCGCCCTCGTTGCCGGTCCAGGTAATAAGATGGGCGTTGTTCTTATCCATCAAGAGCTCCAAGAGGAACTGCCATAGCGTCACATTGGCTTCCATTCCTGCATGGCAGAGAGCAACATAATCATGACTGCTAAGCTTGTGAGGAGCTAGGCCAAGAAACCGCGCTGACTGACTAGATCCAAGTCAAAGGCATTACGTGAATTCTAAACTGCCCCGCCAGAAACAGGGACCCAGATTTTCCGTCCAATCCCCACGAGATCCTATAACTTAAATTAAACCTCGGATTAAGGGTTCAACTCGTTATTAGTCGTAAGCATGGCTTTCCTAGTCTTGATCAGTATAGAATGTATTTAGACATGATCTTTTGTCAGGTTTATTTCACTGGTTTTCCTGTAGGATTACACGTAGGCCTACTTCATTCTATAGGGTCAACACTGTTTTCCGCTGAAACAAAACGTTGTCTGACCAACACCCCAACTCGATTTTGACAGAAATATTGTTGAATATCGGACACATCTTGTTATTGTTAATTCAATTCGAGACCCCCTTGTTATTGATGGCACTGTCCACAGTGAATTTGTTTTTGCTGCCGATGCTGATGATGAAATCGAAACTGAACAACGCTGTGACTATTACACAGCATCTTGTAATCTTCTCGGAGATAAAAGCGCAAGTCATCCGTCAAAGCCACCTGACTTTAAAGGCAAAAGGCATTTCCGGGTTCACGTGTCAACAGCCACGTGACCTTCAAACTGTGTTATTGGTTCATAAGTCAATAGCCACGTGACGCTCAATTCCTAAATTGGACAGCAGAGAATTATATCAGCGCCTTAGTCTGCCAGGCACACGAAATGATTCCACAATCTGTTCTCGGCAACAGCATGCGCTGCTTGCAACCCTATACAATTCCTACGGCACGTGATTTATTACAAGCAAAAATGGAGGCTCCAGAAAGGAAAGTAAACGTGCGGAAATCCTCATTGCTTTTAATATCCACTGGATCCTGTTTATTCCCCGCCTCACAAAGAGAAAAAAGAACTCGAAGAAGAAACTATATGAGCGCCAATTCCTGGCCAGACCCACCCAAAGACGGAAGTGGCTGCCTCATAAGCACCGGACTAATATATCCAGGGTCCCGGGCCATTCCTTCCTGTCCTCAACAAACCCGTCCCAATCATGTGCCAGGTACCAAATATGTTTATCTCTGGAAACAATATGGATTAGAGCCCGCGCAACAAACGGAATAATGCACATCCGATGACGTCATGGTCAGTGGATGAGTCAAAAAAGGTTCCTTCCGGCTTCACTAATTTTGATGGAGAATTGTACTTTCTTTCGCCCATAAGTTCCCTCCCTTTGGGAAAAAATGAGGCTAACAGCTATAAATAACCGTGGCAGAATGAGGGCGGCTGGAAAGATAATTAAACACGATGAAACCGCATGTAATGCATGTGCTGAACTGAACCATTCACTTGTGGAGAGAAATAATTGTGTTCAGTTCCAACATGGCCGCCGCGCCCCCAAGCGGAAGGAACACGTCATGTATAATAAACATGAGGCCTTTTGGAAACCACTATTTTTGGAAGTGCTGTAAGACTAATCCTTCACAAGAAATCACAACTTATGGTTCAAAGGATAAAACATAATTATTATGTCATTCACATAGTAATAAGAAGTGCTGCAAAAAGTAGTATTTGTAGTTACACAAACATCGCACGCACAGTGTGAAGTATATATAGAAAGTAAGTAAGAACTGGTTGTGAATGTGCAACAGCGATTTCCATCCAAGTTTGTTGTTTATTTTCACAGACATTGTGAGCAAGGGGGGGTACATAAGTTAAAATCACGATCTCCGTAATCATCAAACCGCGAAATCATTTTTTCCCGCACACAAGTCGCCCCTCTCAAGTGATTTGTGAGGAAAAAAACAGGACTAGAGAAGACCAAATAAGTCGGCAAGTTTTTCGCACTGAGTGAGCCACGGGCGAACATGCTTCTCCACGGGGATGAACCTTGAACTTACGGTAATGAAATATCACCGTATTTGCAATGAATCCTGACCAGCCCCTTGGGAGCCGTGATGGACGTGAACGGGCACGCTAGCTGACATTGGCATTCCCCCTCCCCAACAACAGTTCCATGGGTCAAGCTTGAATAATAATGAACATCGACCTTATCCATAATGATTTTTGCAGGCTTTATTTGCATCTGTTGTAGTATAACAATGGTATTTACACTTGGGAGAAGCATACACAAAATGCTTAATTACAAGAAACACTTAGATAAGTCAACACAAACGACATGCTGAATGGAGAATCAAATGTACACCAACTGCGGCTGTAATGCCCCACGCTGTTATCACAAACCGGTAACGAGAGTAATGCATTACCTTGAAATATGGTAAAGTGTGATTCATTTCATCTCCGATATTTGACTCACTTTCAATGGAAAGAAAGGCCCAATGTACTATTATTAATGACACCGCCAACGCACCTTTGAGTTTGGTTCCAAGTCCGGCTGCAACCTGCGGTGTCGGCGTACTAGGCACGGTCGGCTGTTGATCCATGGGTTGGTCGGTCGACGCCGCAGGGAACTCAGACTTCACCGTGATCGGGGTGGAGACACGCCCGGGCCCGGGCTTATCTAAAGGGACCAGCGTGAAACAGGTATACATTATTTTCCCGACCGTGAGAAAAAAAGAAGGAAAACTGTTTGCTTAGAGTGCGCACTCCTGATAGGATACAGTGAGCCTCCTGTGTGTGGTACTTGTACACGACCTCCCCCTGCAGAGTAAAACCGAATATCTGTACCAGTCCCAACGCGGCAGCGGGTCCAATGCAATTATGGACCCACTTCCCGGTAGAAACCGGGCCCAGGCTGCACGCGGAAGCAAGAGCTCGCTGCGGCCCAGTGACGTTCGGGAAGTGATGTACAGAAAAATCCACTGTGCCTGGGCCCAGCCGATGTTGCCATGAAAAAAAAATATATCACACGGCTATGTACGCAGTCGTGTTTCTGGTTTTGCAAGATCTCTAGTTACACTCCCTTAAAATAGCCACAATGGCAGGTCAAGTGATTGTTATATACCTATACTTTTGTCAAGAGCTCTGGACCTATAAAAACAAAACACTCGGCCATCGATACAAGATGGAAAATGTGACAGAAAAATTCCATGTGAAGAAAAAGAAAGTACAATTATGGAAACATGGGTTACAGATAACACAATTTAATTACACTTCAGAGAGTAAACTCAATAATCAGCCAATGACCTGTCGAACATACATCAATACACCAACAACTGAAAAGTATAACTTCGAATTAATGACACGGAGTAAATAATAGAAAACAATCCTACCGAGACGTTTGATCACCCGGCTCACAGTTGATTAAAATTCCACCAGTGTGCTGTTTTGTAAGGAATGCCCTGTCAATGAACTTGTCACGAATTTGCAATCTTTTTTTTGACATGAACCGACAGGTGAGAACGCCAAATCGCCAGTGAAAATACTTCCTTGTGTATTTACTCAACGGGCAAGGTAGACACATCTCATTCACTAAATCTTGCCGCTTCACTATGACTCATGGAATATGTTTCCTTTTTGTCGGACCAAACAAATTCCACAGATCACGTCGGTAAAAGCAGCGTTACAAGTTCATATAGCCTGCAGTGTACATTTACATGTACATGTATACTTAACATGCACGGTGAACCATGTTCATGTACATGTACATGAACACAGATCCACAGTTAACCCCAAAATACCAAGAAACATCGTCATGAAAGCACTGGTCCCAACACACAGTTTACAGCGGCGCCACTTTGAAGCTTCGCACGCCAAGGCTTGGGCACCAGGGAATGCCGAAATCCTCAATGCACCCCCTTGTTAGTGGTCCTTGACCCGATAATGACACCCCCACGATGATGTCATGGGCTCTGGAATGTTCAGAGAGGTTCCCCGAACAACCGCTACTGTGCCGTTCCGTATAACAAAGGGAGAGGGGACAACCCCGTGTGAATGCACACCATATATGGTGGGCCGCACAGGTAGACCATGGGTGTGCTGACGAAATGTTTGCATTAACTCTTTCGACCTGCGGGTACAGCTATTGTAAACCGTCACCCCACGATAAGTGCAGGTAATAGGCGTGCATTCCAGACAGAAATTCGTCATCCACAATTTGAGGGATGAGGCATTGCGAAAGATTCTAGACTATTCTCTTTCCCCTTTGCGGAGTCCCAAATTTTGCGGTTTCCCCCGACATTGTGTGACCCCCCTAAAACAATAAAGTTTTGTCGAGAGCAACAAACTCCTTATATTTATCAACAGAGACGAGAGAAAGATCGCTCTGTCCTATCTGAACTTTTGAAAATATTAGCTCTTGTTTTATGAAGAAATTTGGAAATCAAACAACTGTAGATTATTAAAAAAAATATCCGTGGTACTGGAAATATTCCGTAATTAATTTATTTCCGATTGTTTTAATATTAAGGAGTCAAATTCCTGTTGGAACAGGACAGGACCGATCAGAACTCACCTTTGTTTGGCGGTGCAGCCTGAGGCTGGAACTGTTCCGACTGACTCGAAGCTGCGGGCTCGGCGGGTGAAGGCGCACGGGTGTTCCCGGTTAACATGTTGCTGATGTCACGGTCACGAACGAACAAAAAACGGATCGTCACACGATGTGTGGGTTTTCCCGCGACCAATTTCAAAATGTTCACCCTGTGATGAATTTATTAAGAGAGGTTAAAATAGAATTTTCAATTTATTTTCGTTTTTTTCCCAAAGACTGTCTGTTGAACTGATTAAAAGCATGCAAGTACATGTATGTCCAACCGCACGAGGGAAACCGTACATGTATGAACCAAATCTCAACGGATAACATGATTTATGTTCCCAGTCATACCAAAAGTATTGAAACAAAAATATAGCTCAAGGTTTCTAACGCTGTAAAACGCGTCTGCACAGTCCAACAGACACACTGGCACATGAGGCGCTGCACACTCAACCCATACTACTTCATTCACACCCGCTGGACGGGACTAATTAGCATAATTGCCAGGACAGTGATAATTTCGCAATGACGTATGTACGGCTGCACTGAGATCGATGTGCGCATGTACCAAGGGCACGCATCAATGGATAGGTGTTGCGTACATACTCCCAGTACCAGGTGCTGATGATTACAAACTAAGCCACATTCAGATTCAAGTTGGGATGTGTGGGAAATTCGAATGGGATTTCGTCTGGGAATCTTCATTTTCGAGTGCGTTTACACGACAATCACATTGGTGATAACCTCTCCTGTGATGATAGTTGCATAACAGTTGTACGATCATCTTGTCAGACATTGACTTATTATACCGTGATTAATTCATCTACTTATTGAAAATGGGCATTCGCGACTCATTCACGTCACTCGCTAATCGTAAGTGGGCGTCTACAATCACGCTTAAAGTGCGCGCATATTTACCATGCATCGATCAACGATAGATTTAACATTCAAGTTTCCCCCCATGAGTATCCATACGCATCAGTCTTGGGCGACTAAATTCCCCCTTTAACCAATTACAGCAGTCAAATTCATTTGTACCACGAAGAAGTGAGCAAAAAATAAACTATGGCTGACTGCTTCAGAGAGGCGAACAAAAGCTCTAATAGTTTCATCCATAAAATAGTCCCCTGTTTTAAGATACATTTCTCAGACAGCAGGGCAAAGCCAAGTTGTGCGTACTTGCAAGTCTATTCTTGTGGATTCAAAAGGGAAAAATCAATGCTCGAAAAATAACATTTTACACTGAAATCTATTTTATATTGTCTACAATTTTGACTGGCAATATTTGTCAGCAACCATAAAACGAAAATACGATGATACGGATGCAAAATGCTACAAAAGTGCAATTTATTTACAGCAAATCGAGACGCGATTGATCTAAAAAAGCGGCATATGCAATTTTATTAAATCGAACAGACGAAGGCACATGGACACAATATGACCTGTACTCTAATGGAATAACTTGGAAAGAGCACATGTGCATTACCACCACGCTGTGTTTGGGCAGGCCATTTTAATTAAGTAAAAACACCTGTCGTTTTGGGATCAATTTACAATGAATATTGCTGAGGATACCCCCATATGTTTGTTAGAGAATTGGTATCCAAAAAAGGGATTTTCCCAAGTCAGAGCACCAACTTTAAAAGAATACCTTTCGCAGAATATGAAATCCAAAGGGTGAAAAATCACACATTAAAATCAAACAGGAAAACCGGTATTTTCCCCATTCCGGCCCCTGATGAAACTTTCCCAGTGAAATGAATGTAAATCTCGAGTTTATTACATGTAGTCAGATTCAAACGGGCGCACATGACAATCGTTTGGATAATGGTAATTGTCCCAATTCCCCGTAACAGCTAGCTACAGGGGCCCGCGGTACCAAAAGCGCAAACCCGGATATCCGGTATGCGGTACCCGGGCGGGAGGCTCGAACTCCGTATCGCCGAGCCTAGATAAAAGAAGACACGCCGGCAGTTTTCTTTATGGACCCACCACCTGTTGCACACTCGGTGTGCTACAAGTTGATAAAGCACGAAGGGAGACATCACGTGGCAAACACTGATTGAACACATCATGTGCACAACTCCAGATAAGGGCAAAATTTACAGTACGGTGATTTCATTCTGAAAACAACAGTGCATGGTTAAATCACTTCCTCATAATGCTTATCGTGTTATTCTTAACTATAACTGTACTTCCTTTTTCGCGCGAATGCTTAGAATCTAAGTTTAGCGACAGCAGTGTTGTATTCGAGGTCTTTTCCAGCGCAACCACTATTTTCTTTGAGTTGGTACTCATTGAAGCCACTGTGACATGTGCTGTAAATTAGCATTCACAACGTTTGAAAGGTCGTCCCCTATACATTACAATGCCCACTAATTTATACCTCAAGTTACACTGGAATCAAGCAAGAACGGGAAGTAGCTGACCTGGCGATACGCGTCCGATTTCAATTGCATGGTTGATCTATGTTTGCTTAGCCGTAATAATGGAGTCACACCCTCATAATTATAATTTTGAATAATAAGCATCAGAAGAAAAGAAAACATGGACAGCCCAGGATCGTCCATTCGTCACAGAAAAGCATTGGAGTACCGGGGAGAACTATGATAAACAAGTGCTGATAAAACTTTTCGCAGCAGCCGCACTCGCTTATTCGTGGTGTTTACAGTTCGCCAAACAGACTATGCAAGTTTTACTTTAGCCGAGGAGGAAAGAAATCTGCATCATAAAATTTTACAGTGCAATGGAATGACTCACCCTGTAGGCTGTAGTCGTAATAGTTACACCGTTACGCTAACTAGACTGCCCCACGTCCGTCCAACTCAGCGATGATTTAACTAATGTAGTTGACACACACTCGTCACAGATACGCGGTCGTGTGACAGTCCGCGAGCCAACTCCGGCTCGAAACCGGAAGTACGTTCGGGGAAACACCCTATAAATAGACTCGGCCTGCCTTGTGCGTATGTGATGACGTCAGAGCCCGGCGAGCGGCGGCTCGTGATCGCGAGCAATCCGAAGTGCCAAAACGTCTGGTGCCCATCAGAACTGTTCTTATCGTTGTCGCTGCTGGAGACTGGTGGCAAGACTCCATGTGTCACCTGTGCATGGGCGGTAGACTTGTTCAGGTAAACTTGGGGTGGTTTGCTTCAGCGGAAGCTAGGGCCAAAATTAAAAACCAGTGGAAATACACTGCAAATACTTAACATGTATTCCCGTAAAATACTTATATCTAACCAATAATTGCCTTCAATGATGATCAAAGGTTCTTTTTAATCTGTATTTGCAGATGAAAATGGGAAACACTTGATAGTAGACTGAAACGAGTTTATTAATACTTGCGCACAAACCCGATCGCGGGGGGCATTTTGAAATGGTCGCCCTTTTGGCCAGGACTGTTCTAGCAGGTTTATGCATACATAAAAGGAACGGGGTCCCCTCCGGACTCTTAGGAGAGGATCAGGCACCACTCTTGACGTGAATCAAGCAGAGCTTTCTTTGGCTAAACTTTTCAAGGAAGCGGAAATTGTCGACGGAATTGACAAAGGGGGCCGTCCGCAGTTGGGCATATCGCTAGTAAAGCGCCAGTAACCGCCTCAAGTTACGGCCATCAAAAGTGAATGGACGGACGGATGGATGAAACATGTATGGTGTCTCCGTGATGGATTTGCTTTTGGGTCAAGGGAAGGACTGTCTCAATATCTCAAACTTTACTCAATATTGCAACATTCATTTCAAAGAAAATCTGTGCCTACAACGACCGACTCATGCTACAGGGACAGGAAACGCGTAACTCTAGTTATTAGATTGAGAGAAGGTCTGTGCGTCAAGACCCAATCTCAGACAATGCATTCGTTTAAAACTCTCGTAATATTATGACAGAGCAATGATATGCCACCGTTATTTATACTTGAGCTCTGCGAAGGCATGAGGTATAAACACAGAAAGTGCTATATCTGTCAGTTTTTCCATACCACACAGGTTGTTTGACGCTAATATAGTGTGAACATTGAAAAACTGCAGGACACACACACTTGTACATATCTATTCCATACAATCATAATATGTAACCAGAGGATTATTATACGTAGGTTGATGTCTGTTTTGTATTTTTTAGTTTAGGGGTATGATATTATGATAGTGAATAAGTGGGTTTCTGTACAGAAACAAGCGGCATCCATATCTCTGATAAGTTCAGTATTATCTATTTTTTAAACAAAAATCTCAACACATGTTCTCCTAATGTCCCAAACTGGCCTTGCCACCCTTAAAGTGGTTTCTTAAGATGTCTTTGAGGAAAGAGTCCGTCTTCTGACGATTAAATGTCTAAGCATGTTAGAGAATAACATGGGGGAGGGGACACGCGTCCGTCCCCTCCCCTCAGAAGTTTGTATCCCAAGTCTCTCCAATCCCCATTTGAAACTTTGACAAGCATTTAGTGTGTTAACAAGCCACACTTAATCTGCTTTCAGTAACTCCTGAAAAAGAAATGTGTACCCCAGAAATCTACTTGTTAGACACACCATTGGCAGTTGAAAGGGAAGAGAACGGGTCGGGTGTCGGGGGGTACTGAACACAGAACCGGGGTACCGAAAGAAAGGTGTCGGGTGTTATGGAATGAGGTATAGATTTGATGGGAGGAGCTAACGGTCAGCGAGAACCAGTGGCGTAACTGAGGTACATTTTTCCTTATCTAATTTCTGAGCGGGGGGGGGGCATTGGGAGCAGGCATAGGCTTAATTCAATCGGGACCCCCCCCCAATGCTCTACCCTTTAGTTATGCCACCGCTATATGGAGTGGTCGAAATCTCGAAAGGTTAGCTGTTTGGCCTGAAGCTATGCATGACTACAATAATTTTTTCTAATAATTTTGACGTACCATAATGTTCAGCTATTGTGCATTGATACAATGTGTGTAGCTCCAAACGTATGCACAAATCACAGTTTAGACCTGTTTTTCTTTACGTTTTCAAACACCATGTGGGACAGCCCCGGGTTCCAAAAAAGGCGCCACTCTGAACCGGTCGTACGTTTTCGGGGATTTCCCCGAACACGAGATTTCCTGGGTATGAATGAAGCAACGGATGCACGAGGAGAGCTGCAACAAATCCAGGAGGAACTCACCACGGGAATGATATTCATACAGGGCAGGTGACGCTATCTCTACGATTCCGGGAGGAGGGTCCAATTGAATGTGCTATACAATGCGTGGACAGGAATTGCTCTGCAAAAATAAACTACCAAAAACGGTGTACAATATACAGGCTTGACAGAGAAAAACGAGCACTCAGGTCCTCTCAAATAAAAGTAATTACTCGGTCATCCGGAAAGGTAATGACTTATTCACTGTCAAACTGAACCCTTTCCATTGCTGTATTTTCCATTATCAAATTGTTATGTTTTAACATAACTAATTCTTTGTATTTTTATTCTTTTTTGTACACTGTTCTGTTTTAAACATGCACTCGTGATAATTACATGTATGTACATTTCGCAGATGTATTCATTGCTAGCATGTCAGCAATCAGAGGTTAGGGTGACAATTGTGAAATAGAATTTAACTGTTTTTGTAAAACTAAATTATTAACGCTACCAAGGGCCTCAAACAAAAGGGCAAGTGTTATTTTGGGCTCCTTTGATTGATGGGTCTCTTTGTGCCTTCTGCGCATATAGCAACATGTAGTCGCTGTGTTCTTACCCTTCAGTGCACTTTGAAAAGGCGCTTAGAGTTTAAGCACATTTCTTAACTTTTTGCACCCATTTTTTATTTTTTTAACACTCACACCTACGACGTGCTTAGATATTCACAATGAAATGCAGTTGGGAATGTGTTTAAATGCTACGACGATTTCAAAAGCTAAAGGTTACCCTGAAAAGGCGTTAAGCAATTGAACACATTCCTAATCGCATTTCAGTGTATGATATTGGAACACATGTTGTGGGTTAAACGTGTTAAAAATGGGTGCAAAATGTGTTTACACTTTTACTTGTTTACATTGAAGGCCTGGGCCTTGATCTCCTAGCAGAGAGGCTTAATCACAATTACATTATCCGTAGGACCGAAGGACTTATAACAGACTGGTAACAGAAATGGGTGAGAAACTACAGGCCCAGTTCCTTGGACACGTTTCGTGTACAAACTGCATAGGACTCGGAAGTTTCGAGAAAAGTTTTCCCTTCAAAAAAAGAAAAACACCCACACGCGCATGCACCAACCAAGGGGTGTCAGAGTTATAAACAGCGAATCAAAATCAGAATATGCGTACATACAGTCGAGAGTTAGCAAATAAAATCGAGAACTTATTCACGCCGTAAATATTACAGGACAATTACTTCCACGATGGAGGAAGGAAGCAAAGCCGTTTCTTGCCACAAAATTTCGGACTATTTCGTCCTTTCAAAATCTGTTGTCTTGTTCCTGTAAACCGCATAATTATGATCCTGTTAAATAACTGTCCTATAAATTACACCGTATCATCTTGATAAACATCCGTAGATTTTTCTGTAAAGTGAACATTTTTTGTTGTGAAAGAGAATCTCATAAATAACAGCAAACGAAGTACAAACATCAACCGGAGAATTTTCAAACCATGTTTCTCTGTGACCTGCACTGACATGTTTGTCTCCCTGTGAACGAGAACAATAGGGGGATTTCTTGAAAAGAGCATCTGCAGAAACTATTAGCCAATTAGGCCCGCCGGATCACCAAGCCCCTGCAGTATTCTGACCACTGATCTCTATACACTGGAGAGGCAGCTCAGCAGTAACTGCTTAAGTGTGAATTGAAGTGACCGCGTGGCCATTTTAGTGGGATATTCAATACAATGGCCTCCAACTTCAGTCCAGGTTTTTTAAGGGGGAGTTGGTTAGCGTAGCGGTTCTTTCCTCGCTTTGAACCAATGAGGCCTGGGTTCGAGTCCTGTCTAGTGGCTAAGCCCAGGCTTTAAGTGCATTTGGTTTTCAGTCCATACTCGCTCTCGCAGGTTTTCTACGGGTACTCCGGTTTCCTCCTGCCTTTAAAACTGGACCTTTTTTCTAACTCCATAACGTGATGCTGATTAATAAAGGTTATGAATAAACGTATAGTTATTGCGCCGCAAATAGCCGTAGCTGAAAGCGCCATTAAAACAAAAACAATTTCAGTCCACTCACTGAGCGCATTCATGCACGGCGCTAAAGCCAGTGACTTGGAAACCGCCATTGTATTGAATAGCCTAGGCCTATGATGGCCGCGCATGTCGCTTCAATTCGCAGAGCAGAGCTGCCTATCCTATCCAGGTATCGAAATCATTATGAATTTGACCTCAGAAATGTGCCAACGATGTTGATTAGGGCGGATGCGCATGCGCATGCATGTGACATATCCGCAGGCCTAGTGGCTTTAGTTTAGAAGGGAGAGGGGGTTTGCACGAGCGTCATTGGTTTATAATGTGAGACGTTAAACCAATATTTCACAATAGGCCGCAGGCCTGAAAGTGAAAAGCAAGCATTTTTTTCTATTTTCTCTTTCCCTTCTCAATGGTTTTAAGTCACTTTAACTTTGCGGACGACAGACCATCTTTGATTATCTGTGCCCAAAGAATAACGTCGCTTTGTGCGAGGGGGGGGGTGTTCGGGATTGGGGGTACACACCGTCCTGACTTTTTTTTCCTTGGGAGTTAAGTCACTATTATTAACGCCCCCCCTGTTGTTGCTTTTTCTGTAAAATTCACACTAAGATTGTCGCTTTTTTTGTCATGTATTTTTCTTTCTCGATCAATGTTCTGTCTTTTTTAAGCGGAGAAGAGGATGGTTGGTCTGGTTGTGTGTTTTACGGTCCTACCGCTGCCTGTATATACAGTCACCTGCTATAAGTTTTCAGACTAAGTAAGCATATTGCAAATTTATTCGGAATTTTGCAATTTGTTTCACTGATTTTTTTTTATGTATTATGCATTCATATCCTCATGTTCGTAATGTTGGTTTTAAGTTTATTTGTTGGTTTTCTATCAGTGATTTCTGATATTTCTGAATGTTGTTGTGTTAGGCTTCTTATAGGCCGCCCTGGCCATCGTGTGTTTGATGCACATTCTAAGTCTGTTATTATATTGAGGTGTGATTTTATGTCATTCTTTTGGCTTATCATATTTCAGAATTTAATGCAAATTTTCCTGGTCTATTTTTTAATCGTACACTGTAAACAAAGAATGTATTTTAGTATCTTAATTTTAACAATTGTACAACCCAACCGTTTGGGTTGCCAATAAATAAATCAATCAATATTGGGTGGCGCCCCTGTTGTGGGAGTAGGGTGGATTGAGGAAAGGGTGGCCGAACCTCCTCGTGAAGCCCATGTTGCAGACAACAGTGAATAAAATCAATGGCCCAATGACCGAACCGCCAAAACCTAATAAAAACTTCCCCCCCCACAAAAAAAATCTCTAAAGACATGCAAAAATGCCATGGTGCCATAGAGCATGATCAAACCGGCCCCGTCACCTGAAAGTATAACTCACCACCAAACCAGTCAACAGAAGACGAAGTGTAAGACTGCATCGCCGCTGAACTCCAAACTTTGCGGTGTCATGTTTATGACTTCGAGAAGAATAAGTCACTCACGTCATTCTATTCAACGTCCAAGAATATGGACGAAAATGGTGCATTGATATAAAGTATAGAGTTAACCTTCTTGCAGATTTTTGAAAAATTAAGGACGACAAAGTGCCATTGAAGTTCTGTGGGTGGGAAGGCATTCCGAGAAATGTGGGTAGAACATATTGCCTTCTTTAACAAACTTTTACAGAGCTCGTTGTAGTACAATATAATCTCATTATTGTTGATGGTAGAGCCAACAATGTCTTGAACTTGAACCACAACAATACAAGGTTCACAGTTTGCGTAGAGCCACACTCCCCCTTTTATCGTCTGAGCGGTTATATCCATTTCAGCCCATTCAGGACTGACATTATCAATTAAATCGGCCTCCAGCTCTTCAACGGGGGGAGACCTGAGGGATGAGATCGTATGGCCATCAAAAGCGACAACAACCTGGAAACTGACAATGCTATCATGAACAAATCCTGGGACATTACAAAAAAAAAAAATTAAAGAAGAAAACAAGAAAGAAAGAAAGCCACACGTCGCCCACTAAACAGATATGTTCTCACAGATATCGCTCTCTCCTTCTCTTTCCTCTTTTTTCAATCGCCGCTATCTAGTTGCACTAATCGTGACAAGATCTCACGACAATAGACGTGCCTTCTGCCGTAGCGCTGGCGTAAAATGACGCATCACGATGCGTTGCCATGGCGACGTTTGCGCCAGCGAGCGCAGTCGGGGTGGTCAGGCGGGAAGCGGCGCTACAATGTGACAATGCCGGAGAAGTCACCTGCTTACGTAGGAGAAGTTATCAGCGAAAAGCCTCTCGTCTGGAAGGATGAACTTTCCCCAGTCTCTTTCTCTGTAGCTGCTGAACAATTGGTTCAGAAGTTCGAGGGGGTCACTTGGACGTGATGGTTGGCACATCATCCCTCACTTACCAAGCGAAATCTTTTATTAATGTTTTAATCCCCCACTACCTAATTTTATTAGTTAAGACTTCAGAAAATGCATGTTTACTCGATGAAATTTTGGAAAATATTTCTGTCTTTATTTGACCTCGTGTGCTAGATTGTGGTGTTGGCCTTAGGCAGGTGGGTAAACAAAGTCACGCACTCTCTCAGCAGCGCTTGGGCCAGTGCTGCACTCGGCATTCGGATGTAGCACAAGACCCAAGGAATGATTAGAGAAGCTCACTGTACTGTAATACATGGAGCCTCTTGTCTTTTTCTTTAATTTGAACATTTTACATGAATATACCTCCCCGGGGTTTAATTTGTTATAATGATCTAGAGGTTATTTTTGTGGGTTTGCGATAGCCCTGCAATGACGTGTGTCGCAGCAAAGATGTTGATCGCAACGCTGAACATGACAATGCTGGCAATGTTGGCTGAATATTAATATTAATGTATGCGAAGTGACAGTCCAACTGGGACCGTGTGGTGATCATAATACATGAAGTCGATGACAGACTTTTGACGTCATTCGTGAAGGCCACAGTGCTGGCCGTTTATTCTCGTCCGTGTTTGTGTTCAGTTCGGCTCGAAAAGTCTCCCCCGTGCACGCATTTGGATTCCGTCTGCAAGATTCATGGCACTGCCCGTCTCCATGGTACCACGTACACGATCTCATGTCAAATAATTGTATCCCATATGGAGGCGGCTTTACTGCAGAGGGTGCATTATAATTCCGCACAGGTTACAATCATGGGACACTGAGGTCCCCCGAAGCGAGAAGAGGGTGGGGACCGTGTCCCCCCGGGGGGGGCTAATGGCATTGCGAGGAATCGACACAAAGGATGATAGATCTGGATGGGGAGGAGCCAATGCTTGTCGACTGGTCAGATTTTGTGGTCTTTTTTCCATTTTATCATCGAGGCATGGGCTTTGAGTTTCATACGGGAATACTACAAACGGTCAGTGGCTAGGTGAAACTCAGAGAAGGACGGCAACCGGGCAGTTCATCTCCCCCCCTTTCCCCCTCTCTTTCTTGGAGGCACCGAGAGCAAATGAGCTTCGGCACAGATGTAATTTTTTTTATTTAGAAGATTCCAAATGCTGAGAATGTAGACACCTACACGGAGGCACCTGCCCTCCAACCTGACTGTGGGCCCCCTGGATGGTCATTTGCCAAGCGTGGCAATGTATACGTGCTATCCTCGACACTCAAAGGGGGAATGCATGGTGTTATGAAGGAGTTGTCGTCGCCTTGGTTTAACCCACGGTTATTACCTTTGATTAGTCTTGAGAAAATAGTAAAAAGTGTCCTAAACTGGATTCTTTCTTCGAGGGTGAATCCAGAAATTTTTCCAGGGTCAATTGGTTGGGTAAAATGGAAATTTGTTTTTCTAAAAAACGACAGTCCTTCTTTGTATCCTGAGAAGAATCTTCACTCCCCTCCAAGAAAGACTGCAGTACCGTTTAAAGTGTGAGCGCTTTCAATTCCTAAACTAAAATGATAAATAAAATTACCCCCCCCCCGATTCGGACTTGCCTCCTTCGCTCCCCCCGCTGGAGACCTGAGGCAGGCCTGAAATTTTGAAGCTGGGGCACACGCGGTACCACGCGACCTATCACTTTGTACACGTTGTGGGCTTAAGAGAGATCCCGTGTGCGCATGTTGTAGAGCGCCCTCTTCCATTTACTGACAACTAAAGAAGAGGACCCATGTACAGTGTACATTGTACGTACATGTACAGTACATGGTGTGCGCCTTGAAGCTTGGAGGCAAATTGGTAAAAATGTGGCTGATGGGACTAGTGTCAAAATTAACATAGGCCTATGTCATGTCAAACAATGAAAAACCTCTATGGTGAGTACATGGTAATTAAAAAGTGTACCTAATCCAAATATCACCTCAGTGTCAGTGAGTGTCATCAGCTGGTCTGGTGTCCATCCGACCGAAGATGATCCGACTTGTGTTGTGTTTTATTTCTACTTTTCTTGACCATTTATAACAAAGTACGTGCATGCATGGGTTTATGCATGGTTTATGTGCTGGAATCTTCAGTACAAATGCTTACAAACGTGCAACAATGCATCCTTTAAAAACCAGGACGAAAACAAGGCAGTTTATATTCAACTTTAAATTTTTACTATTTCTTTTTGTACTTGGAAGGAGGATCTTGCCCAAAACTTCAATTTTTTCCAGTTTTTAGGAAACCAGTGGTTAGCCCCACTGGCACTAGTGTGGCACGGACTCTTGAGTCTGTGAAACACTACTGGGGCTAACCAGTGTTAGGCCCCCATGGTACACTCTTTAGACTGGAAAATTCAAGACAAGAGGCATCAAGTCCCATGTAAAGTAATGAAAATGTGGCTTTCTTTTCCCATTTCCTGCAAGGGAAAGAGTTCCATATGGGCACCAGTAATTATTCCCTACAGTGACCTATTAGCCGTCAGAAAGCAAAAACCATGTCCAGAAAAGTTCAAATTGGGAAGGAAAAAAACCAATAATTAGAAAACACTTATAATTTTTCCGATCAGTCTCATAGGGTTTGTGCACGAGGATTTGTGGACAGTGTCAAGCGGTGTCCGTAGGAACTCTTTCCCCTGCAAGTGTCCTTCACAAACCTAGGGCATAATTACCCTTAGAACTGTGGGATTCGTCGCCTGCCATGCTCCAACGAGTGTGGTGGACGATGACCCCCACAATTCTGGGGGTAATGGATAGTGGAAAAGTAGTGGTTAAAAATCCAGCCAAACAAATAATAAAGTATTGTGTACTCGTGTAAAACGTAACCATGAAATAATCACCTTTTGCCAATAAAAATTAGAAGTACCTTTTGTGTAACAGGGTAATCTTAATCATCGGTTTTCATTGTTTAATAATCGCTACCAAACTACAGGTGAGGCCTTGTCTGGGTAGATCAAAATGGAAAACGTTAAACATTTTGAGGATTGCCCCAGACACAACTTGGGGATGGACATCTTCTTGTCACGACACAACGGCTTCAGTGGGAGGATCAAAATGAGACCAGAAGACTTTAGTGTCACGGAAATCGACTTATCCGGGAAGCCAGTTCAGCTGGACGGGAGGGAGGATTTTCAAAGCCTTCCTTGTCAAATTAGCGAAGAAGATATTGATTTTTACACGGATGGAGCCAAAAGTAGTGATGACTCTTTGAGTAGAAGTTCGGACGGATTGTCATCCAGGGCATGGGACTCGATGTCCTTGGACGATCTTACAGACCTAGAAGACCTGGCTCCAATCCTGGAGGATGTCGTTGGAAAAGAGGTGATGGAACATCTGAGAACTTTCTCCAAGCTAGAGCTCAACGGAGCCTCTTTAAATACATGTGTGAAGCCCAGTGGTATCTCGTCAGGCTCCTTGAATTTCCAGACACCACGTGCCAGTGATGGCGTTTCAGCGCCAGGAAAAAGTTTCTTTGTTGGCATTTTTTCAGAGAAACAGGAGAGGACGTTTGTTCACAAGGCGATTCAGTGCCTTTATCCACACCTAGTGACGTCCACCGCCAAACTCCGGGACAGTGCTTCATCGTCAGTGCACGTCAGTACCAACCCTGCCTACTGGGACTTTCAGAACCTGCTCGCAGACCACCAAGTTGGGAAGCTGTTTCGATTTGCCAGGTCAAAATTCTCAGCCCGGACAATCTCCATTGATGCCGACTGCATGAATTCCAAAGAGCAGAGGACGGCAATCCACAGGCTGATTTCAAAACATTTTGGGAAGTTCCTGGAAACAAAGACTTGTCCGACGGCATCTGGTCAGCAGGCGGTAGTGGTGCGATTTAGGGAGAAGTTCGCTCGGAAGAATAACACAGGAGTGAAAAGGAAAGCTGAAGTGTTTGATGCAGAGGCCTCAGGAGCTGTTTTCACTGGTGAGTTTGTCTTCTAAGAAATGATCTCCTCAGTGGGGAAAAACATTTTGCCAAGAGAAATCTAATCAAGCATTTCGCTTTCTTCAAAATGATGAGAAAGGTACCATTGTGCCATAACCTCATTATCTCTGGCTTTTGAGGCAATTTTTTTTACAATTTAGATTGTCAGTTTAAAAAACTCCTGTCATCGTTTTCCTCAAACCTTACGTCTGATCAGATTTTTTGTTTTCAAATAACCCATATATAAACTAATTGGTTACATATTGACTTTGGCATTTGTCTTGTATGTCCGTCATCGTCGAGCACAAGGCTTGCATTAAAATGCAAAGGCAAAGGCTTTTACTACAGGGGGCAAAGCCCCCCATTTAGAATTAACAAACGTACAAAACCTTTCTACAAAAACCCATCTCAGAAATTCAGTTCAGTATTTGTAATTTTGCAGGCTTCACACTGGAGAAACGAAACCTAGAAACCTTGGATGCCCTCCAGCGACTTGCACGAGTCTTGAGGGTCAAGCCGTCCGACTTCAGCTATGCCGGGGTGAAGGATAAAAAAGCTATCACTCTTCAGTCGGTTGCAGTCAAAGGTGTATCTCCAGACAGGTTCGAAAAAGATGAGTTAGTTTAGAATCAACAGCGGCAATGAATACATTTAACTTCCAACCCTAAAACGTCCAGAAATCGTCATCGTACATTGGAGAGAAATAACATATTCCAACCATGTCTTTTTAAGTTTACACACACACATATGTACATTTTTTTATCAATTAATATTCAGATTCATTGTATATTTGGGCGCATATCCATTTTTGAAGCATGACATCATAACGTCGTAAGGCTGAATCCTGAGGATTTAAAATTGTGCATGAACGACGGAGTAAAAACGAATTTCCTGCTTCAGTAATTTCAATTACTTTTCATTAGAGTGAAACAGCTAATCAGTGGAGCAAATCTTCCAGGCATTGCTGTTGGCAACGTCCGTCCCGTCCTCACAGCCATTCATGTTGGAGACCTAACCGGCAATCTATTTGACATCCTCGTACGTGATGTTCATCTCGGTGGTGATGGAGAAACCCCTGGGGAGGAGGCACTGGAGAGAGACCTCTTGTGGCAGAAACTGGACAGTTGCTTCACATGTGTCAAGGTATGGCATTCGCTCGGGCCTTTGCCCTTTTTTTTTCTTCAAATCTGAGCTTCACCTGTGTCACTGGTTTCTGATTTTAGTGTTTTCCTGTTGTTTCTTTAAAGCGGAACCCTTCACTGCTCTGTAAACATCATATTGTGAAGTGTGCAGCTAAAGTTGGGCGCATTTCTGCAGCCGAAGTCGGCAATGACGCAGCAGCGTGGAAAATGGCCTTTTCCCAAAAAGCATGGGTGCATTACTAAAACAGTTGTCCATGACAGAGAATTATTAACCGTATTCCTGCGCTAAACTATCTGGTGCTAGACTTGGGAAGTTGTAAGGTGTAGATACTGAAATGTTTTGCAGTCCTTTTTCAGTTTTGTTTTTTTTTCCCAAAAGGTGATAAAGTTATTCTATGCGACAAACCTGAACTCTACAGACACATCTGCCTTGCCAATTTGGCATTGTTATTTCATTTAGCCCTCAACATGAAGTGGAGCCATATTTAACATATTGATATGTGAAAATTCACTGAGAGTTGAAAAAAAAAATAAATAAAACGCCTACCAAAGAACCTCACAAAAAGTTTGGTATGCTTTGCTTTGACCAGGAGAGAGGCTTCGTGAATTATTTTGGAGAGCAGCGTTTTGGTCAGTCACTTGATGGTGAGAGCCAATCGGCAGCTATCGGTCAGTTCATCCTGGCCGGCAATTATGTAAGTAAAGGAAGACCCTGTGAAGCCATATGGAAACTTGTAAATTATGAAGGTTATGAAGGTCTAACCGAGACAAGGGCAGTAATTTTAGGATGATTTTCTTCGAGTGGAATAATCATTCCCTTTTTGATTACATTTATGGTGAATCAAATTATTTGCATCCACAAATTTTTCCTGTTACTACGTCAACAGTGCTCCTGTCCACCAACTGAATAATCGATGCATTGATTTATTAGTTGTGTAAATTAATACTACTTGCCGCCTTAGATGAGACTCCAAGAGTGATACATGGACTGCTTTCCTTTTACCAACAATTTCAGCAAGATGCTGTCTCTCAAATACTTATGGCTGAGGGCGACAAGGATGACCTAGTTAACAGGGCCAAGCGGCACTTCCTCCGGACCCGGAATGCCAAGGAGGCCCTCCGCCTCTTGCCCAGGTGTGCCTCCCGCGAGGGCCTCATCCTGCGGGCGCTGCACAGGCATGGCACGGAGAGGGACGGGTGCACCAGGGCACTGCACTGCATCCCCCACGCCATGCGGCAGCTCTACGTGCACGCCTTTGGCGGCCTGGTCTGGAACCGCATGGCCAGCGAGCGGCTGCGACTGTATGGGTACCGGGCGGTGGTTGGGGACCTGGTGTTGATGGGAGATGAGAAACGAGGAGCCAGGGACAAGGTGTGTGACGGTTGGCTTTGAATGGTACCATCTTTTCCCACCATTTATCCCAAATCCCAAGATGCACTGTAAATACCTGGTTTTTTTTTAAGTTTTCAGTAATTTTTTGTCTAGGTAGTTGAATGTTGGTAAGATTCTGGCTCAGATTTCATCCAGCCGGCCAAAATTGTAGATAAATATTGTTTACTTTAAATATTTATTTACTTTGCGGTTAATACTTTTGAATTTCTAAAAATGCCCCAATTCGCTGATTGATGGCTTTCCTTCAGATTCGAGAAGTTTCTGAGGATGATGTGAAACTGGGCACCTTCTCCATCAGGGATGTGGTCCTTCCGTTGCCTGGTAACAACATCCGCTATCCCAGCAACAGGATGGGCGAGGCATACACCAAGTGTCTATCCGAGATGGGCCTCGGTTCCTGCACATACCGCTTGCATGATCTTCAGCTGAATATACCGGGGGATTACCGCCGCCTGATTGAGTGGCCCGAGGACCTCGTCTGGGATTTAGAGAAGCCAAGTGCCGATGACGGAGTCCAAACAATCACAGGATACCAGCAGGAAACATATCACAAATCAGACCCTCCAGAAGACAGACAGCATTTTGCTGATGAGAGGGCTAGACCAGTGGCGCCCAAAGGGAATCTGAGCTATTCTGATGATTTGCTGCAGACTGACAGAAGAAAGCCCGCTGATTCAGATAAAGCACAAAATGAGAGCAAATCACCGAAGGGATCTGAAATGAGCAGCTCAGAGTTTGAAGACAGACAATGTATAAGTAATTGCAAAACAACTGGCCCAGGGGCAAATTTGAGGGTAACATTCAGGTTGCCGTCTTCAACATATGCAACTGTTTTTCTCAGGGAGCTGATGAAAAACTGAAGAATGGTGGAAGTTTGTTTACAAAGTACATACAAAGGAAACGCAAGAAAATTTTAAATCTTTTATGTTGTTATTTCAATATTTTGGGTTGGAACAGTAAGTTAATCCTTCAGTTTCTGTAACAAGGATCCAATGTAGTGACAATGATCAGCATCAACATATGTACATTCTCCTAAACCCAAACCACATGCAATATTTGTTATCACAAGGAACAACTCCATGCAAACTTTGGTGGCATCACACCAATGAGCTTATTTTTCTGCACAGTTCATCAGCAAGGTAAATTAAAGCAGGAATAATAGGCTGTAATGTTACCTTAAATTTTCACTTTTTTTATTTGACGAAACTTCTTTTCGTCTGTGAACTGTGAATGATAGCAAACCCAGTAACCGAATGACACATTACCTGTTTCATGGAATCGCCCACAAACAATTTGATAAAAGAGTGGTTACATCCCAAAGTTTGGATTAATGCCCTGCCTCGAAAACAAAGACCTTTAACATGTCTTTACAATGTCTTTGTTTTTTCTCGGTTTTCTATACACTTTCACAATAATGTACCAGATTTCTAAACATAGGGATTTTTATTTAGTAAAAGTTACAAATGATCTAATTCCTGCTCAATAGATGTTAAAGAGCCCCTTTATTTAAAAAAAGAATTCTTGTAACATTTAAATACGAAAATGCAATAAATTAATAAAGCGGAAAACAAAGAAATCAGAAATCAAATCTCAGGACTTGAGTAGTCTTAATTCACAAATGGTGTATGTGAGGAAACGATAGTTTATGTTTACAGTAGCTGTCTACAACATGGGTTCTAATTTATGTGGGGCTTTAAAGCTTATTTCCACTATCTGTTTTTTGTTGAACTATTCTCTTGAGAACAGCCCTGCACCCCCCATGGACTCAAAATGGCAAAGTGCTGACAACTGGCCACAACTTTTTTTTCCGTGCAGGGTAATTGTGTGAGTTCACAGCTTTGTTAATGTTGGCATGGGTTGGGCCCTAGGACTTTACATGCTGAGACCTTCAAGGAGGCGGTCATTTTTGCCTGGCAAGACAGATGCCAGTAAGGTGATTATTAAAAAAACATTATTTATGCCACAGTAGTTTGCCATCAATCTTCCTTTAGCTCTTTCACAGTTTTGCTCAGTAAGTTTTGGGTTGAAAGACTCTACCGGAATTACAAAAGAATCATGCAACTACCACACGCAGTGCATTAACAACACACTACCAAAGCTATAAATGCCTCCCTCTTCACACTGGGAGGCGAAAATGGAAAATGTTCTTCCAACCATGTTTCTATTTACATAGCCGAAGGCTGCCAGTACAAAATGGAGTCAAGAAAGGTCTACAAAAGATTTGGGGAGCTAGTTAAACCCAGATGAAAGAAAAAACAAAATGGCTGGAATGAAGATTAGTCTCGGAGGAGATGCCTCTGCTTGATTTCTGGACCACAATGAAATTTACGGTCCGGGGAGATGCCCGTATTGAGATGGTTAGATCTGAACAAAAGATGACTGGAATGAAGCTCGACTTGTAGAAGACGACTCTGAGATGATATCTGGACTACAAATACAAAAGTGACCTCATTGGTTTCTCATGTCAAGGTTTCTCCCTTTGTGACCTGTTGGGAAAAAAAAACACCAGAAAACGTTAAAAGCACCTTGAGGGATGTTGCACGCTGTTAAGCTGGAATTTTTTTTTCATTCATCCAAATCCTCCACCACATTTTATTATTATGAAGGCACCTTGCTTTTTTTGACAGCCATAGCAACAGGGAAGAAGCAGGAAACTAACTTCATGCAACAAGATGTGACCAAAAGCAATTCCGGATTTCATTGCAATGTGCAGCATGTAAGACACACACCAGCCTTGACAGGTTACCAACCAGGATGCTGATTTTTTTTTTTCAGCTAGCTTTCAGCAATTTAAGGAACAGTTTTTACCATCAAACTAAGCATTCTACATGCATGACATTATGGGCTCATATCAAGCCTTTCTGGGGCACTTCTATTACCAATATACTTCAACGGCACTGTGGTTCACACAAAACTTGCAATGCAGATCACGAGATCAACAGGCGCATGTTGGACATGATCAGTTGATATGCGTGATTGCTTGAGCACAATCTGTTAACTGTGTTGCATGATTTGCCAATGATGGAAAGAGTTCCATATATGGACAATACTTGATGTCCCTGTGGCAGAGCCAGAAATGAGTGCTATTAAATACATGTTTGTACGTAGAAGTAATTCCCCTTTAAACACCTTCAGCTTTAGTTTAGAGTCTTGATTTTTTTAGTAGTGTGCCCCCCTGTTTATTTGTTTAAGCCCCAGCTTCCCCCTATATAGTGTAGGCACATGGTCTGGCCACACTCAGTGTATCAGATCAGCAGAGACCAGTCAACTTTACATCACCTGTTCTTCCTAACTGGAGTGTGGTTTTCTGCTTGGGCCCTTGTCTGCTAGAAGTCAGTGGTGAGTTTCTAAACTTTTCTTATTCGTGTATAAAGTTAATTTTTCCCTCTTTCCTCAATATTATCCAGTTTCTACACTTTTCTTGCCAAGGTTTGCCGATTTTCTTCCCGAGTATTTGTTTTCCAACTCACTGAAGGTTTCCTAACTTTGTCTAGCTTTTGTGCCTAGAAAACACACTCTAAACCTGTATCACTTCTCATGTCTAACTTTTAGATCTCTACTTCTTTAATTTTCTCAAATTTTCTTACCTTTCGTACTCTTTTTTGTCTAAGTATGCTAGTGATGTTTAAGTATTTCCATCCATTTGCCTCAGAACATGCCTTTCTTTGTCCTCTCTTCCTTAGTTGATTGTTTATTTGGACTTGCCAGGGGATTTGAATACTTAATGAGCCCCATAGACCTGTGCACAATTTTGGTTTTATGATGTTAATCCTTGCTCTCACTTCCAGTACTATGTAGTCCATGCAGGAGGGATTTTGTTGTTTTTTATGTTCTTTACTTCTCTTGGTTTTTTACAGCTTGAAGTCTGAGTGTAAACTCATGAGGTCCATTTTACACACTGTGTTGGTTTGTTTTAGTCCTTTTGAAGTTGTAGTCTTTTGGTGTTGAGTCTTTTCAGTCTAGCGGTCCTTCCTCCCCCCAATTTTTTGGGTACTTTTTAATAGATAAACTCTTTTGTGTCCTTTTTAAAAGTAAAATAAATGTGTCTGAGTCCTTATTAATTCAGTTTCCTGCGACTTTTTCCTCAAAGTTCCTTGGTTTATTATTTTGCAAGTTCTCCCATACTGTCCTTTTTCCCAGTGACACCCCCGTGTACAAACCTGTAAGACGTGTCTGAAAAAACTAAGTGTTTTCTGAAGAAATGCTTCGGAATTTTCTCAGCTACATTTTACTTTTTATGACATGTTATCATTTTCTGATGGTTGTTCTAACATTTTAAGGGAAAATAAGTGTTGTCCGTACATGGAACTCTGTCTGATTCATGGCTGTAGAAGATTGTTTCAAAAAAAAGAGAGGTCTGAGATTTCGTAAAGGATTGGCAGCTAGTGCAACGCGACAGCACACTTGTTGCTGATGGACTGATCCTTCCTAACACAAGTGACAACTGAATCTCAGAAGTCATTTTGTACATGAAGTGATGGATTGCAAACTGGGCTAAACTCAATCATCCGAGGGTTTGTCAGAAATGTCGAAGACAGAGCCTGCTCAACTCACCCTTGCTTCCAGATACTCTATTTGTCGCTCAAGTGATGTCAGCTTCTCGTTCAGCATAGCTAATCTCGATCGACATGATGTATCTGTTGGTCAAGCGTCATAAACATTCATCATGAAGGAAACAGGTCAACTTGTACCTTGGACAACTCGCACCATGGACAACTCGTACATCAACTTAACATAACTGTACCAACTCGTACATTTGTCAAGTTGCACCTTGGACAACTTGTACCTCCAGTAAAGCCAACTTGCACCTTCACAGAAATCAAAGCTTATTATAATTGTAATTAACTTGAACAATAATTTGATTTCTTAGTCATGTGTTCGTCACCTAATTTGCTGGTTTGGCTACACAGAATTCCCTACCCGCCGGTGGGGTGACATTAATGTGAGACACATCAACGTCATGCATGTGCAGTCAGGCAACTGATGCTGGTCAACGTGGGCAGCCGTCGTTGCGTGCAATTTGGAATCTTCACCGTGCAGTCCACCGTGATGATGGAGTGATGTCATGTTATTTATTTCAAAGTTTCTAAAATAATGTCAGTTGTAACTTGTCCAAGAAACCCCCAAAACAAAAACAAGAATGTTAATAAGGAAGGCAACCACCTCCTAAAAATTGAAAAAATGAGACCAGAAACATTTCCAAAAGAAATCTAGAAATAAACAGTTTTATTAAGTACACCCCCCAAAAGTTACTAAACAAAGCCATCATTCCCCACAAAATGAAAAAGTCCAGTAACGTTTCCAAGAGCCATAAGAATAAATTGAAGTCCCTTCCCCCCAAAAAAAAGAATTTAGAGTTTAGTAAAGCCCCCCCCCCAGGATGTTATAAAGGAAGTCAAGTTGGTAAACAGTCGGGTTGTTTCACATCTGTAACGTAAACCGATGGTGCAAATGCCCGCAGCAAGCACTATGGAGAAAATCATGCTGGCGCTCGAGATCTCTCCAGGAGACTTATGAAGATTTTTCCTTGATATGTTTGTCAAATCTGATCTTAACCATGCTGAAAGGGAAGAGCAAGAAAGTTACAACCGAATTGATAACATGAAGGTATGAGTGGTCTTAACTCGAGGTACGAGTCATCCAACATGTCCAAGGTACGGGTTGACTTGAAAGCATCACAAACATGAACATTACTGTTCTAACTTCCGGTAAAGGAAGTGTCAAATCATCTTATTGAGACTGCGAATTATTTGTCATATAATGGTAAAATCCATGGTGAATAATTAGGCCCCCATATAATTAAATAGGCCAAGGTCTACCGTCATGACCGTGTGTCTACATTAAAATTGAATAATTATGTTGTAAACTAGTAGTAGTAATAAGTAGGCCTTGGCTATAAAGAGTCGTTTTTTACCAAAGGAATTAAGGAAGTCAGCTATTTTCTTGATGTTTGTCGTGATGACTTCGATGTATTCTCTATTGGCCCAGTCCTCCTGAATTTGTTGCTGGACTGTCGACTGAGGTGCTTGTCGCGTTTTAGACATTCCGATGGAGTTTTGACAGCGTTTCGGGTAAAATAACCAACTGCCAATTCACTTCCTGATCAGTGATCTTGCCCTGTTCTCCAAGTACACGTTTTTACATTCAGACTCATCATCCGTATACTGTTATGTTGCTCAATTCAATTGGTTGATAGGAGGCGAAATGATTTACACAGTCCAATCACAGACTCTGTCTTTTTATGCTTTGGAATTGAAGCGCTTAAAGTTATCGCATCGTGTATTTCATGTGTTTGACGAACAAACAAACCACTGGGGAAATGCTACCCTCGGTCCTGGCATCTTTGCCTGCAGGCTTCTGCCGAAAAACGTGATTGACGATTTCTGTGACCTGAAAACGGAAACGATGTGCAGTATCGGCATGATCGGCAACAGAACTTGTATTTATCACTGTCAGGTAAGGAAATTTACTGAATTGTCATAATCCTACGTTAAAGTTGCATTGTTTTTGGTCATGATTGTTGGAGTTCGGTTTGGACAGGCCGCGCCAGCCAGTGCATTGCCAGCGCAGCTCAGCGCAGCTCAGCGCAGGCGTTTGTAAACTTCGGGACCTCCAGTTTTTATCATTTGTACAAAAGAGTTCGACCTGCCAAAGAGTACAGCCTCGGGCAGTGTTCTCTTAATGATGCTGACGCTATTTTTTGTGAATTTCGATTGATAAATTAGAAGAAAATACGACTTTCTTACGTGATTTTCTAACCACATACTGGATCGTGATGTCACCTTGGTTGTTTTTACCCCATAAATTCCCTTATAAATCAAAACCCTGCCCTCTTTCCAACGAATTAATCCTGCAGTTATGCAGCATATAGACAGCATAATCCAGTAAGGTGAGTTTCAAAGATTAAAAGTTAAGCTTCCGTTCTCTTATCATGGTCCCGAAAATTACAAACACTGCGTTATATAGCACAATCTTGACTCTTATGCAAATGGATTGTAGGGCCTAAGCCTACTCCCTCAAGGCCTCTGAGAGTTGGTTATCCAAAGGCAAATCAACTCAGGACGGAGTACAATAAATTTGCGCTTAAGCACTGAGCACCAGCATGTCTCTGACCATGTGCAGCTGACCATGCAGACATTTATTTTATGCATAACTGACGTGACTGATTAGTCATGATCGCCCTTGTGTGATCACAAATTGCAGATCAGTCGAGGCTGCTGACTGTATGAAGTCGCTGACTTTACTTCCTTTTTTCAAAATGACAATCTTCTACAACTGCGGATTAGAACACAAAGAAAGACAAGGCACTTTGTGTGATTAGCTGAAGACAATTAGGACCTATCAGCAGATCGTGCAAGAAAATCGACATATCACACGAAGATCAGGTGATTGCACTGATCAACCGATCATGACGAACATTAACATAATTAAGTCCAAATAGAGTAAGGTTACTGTGTTGCCTGCAGCATGGAGTCAGGATGCAGCAGGAACGAGGTGGCATGCCATGGATAAACCGGTAAGTGGCGGTATGGCCAGCAATTTTACCACCAAGTCTGATTGAGCGTGAAAGCGAAGCAAAACACAAACATGCATGTAGTGTAAAAGTTTGATCTGATGTCACAAACTCACAATTTCATGTTTGTCCTGTTTGTGTTCTCTTCCACATGAAGTACAGTGTATGAACTAGCCTATAAACCTACTGTTCTGCACCTAGGCTATATAATGTAGTAGAGTCCCCTAACATGGCGAACTTTAATGTTTACTTGAAGTTCCTCACGCAGCGCTGCCAAACCTCTCTCTTGAAAAATGTAAAACTCATTTGGTTATAAACTGGTACTATTTCCTTCGTGATACATGGTGTTGAACCCTTGTGAACAATTTCAGTTTCGCGAAATTTCGTTTGAAATTCAAAATGTCAGCATCCGGAAATTGGACATGAATTCAGCTGAGTGTTCCACACTTGAAAAAAATATCTAAAAAAATCCCACATAAACATTTACAAAATCATTTCAAGTTGATAAATTCTTTTAAAGTATCATCACTGCCACTCAAATACTCATCCACTAGTTTGTCTGGAAATTCTTTTTCTAGTTTTGGGCACATTTTAAAAGAGTTCATTTCGCACGTTGGAAAAAAATTGGATGATCGGGTGAAATTAAAATTTCATCCACACTTTTTGCATGTACGTATAATGGAAATTTATGAATCAGCAGGTAGCTCTGCTTTTGCGCAATCTGTTATCTTATTGAACCATTTGCCAATAATTCTGCCATCAGCTTGTTGACTTTTCTTCCTTTTTTGCAGTTTTGAAAGATGGTTTCCAAAAAACGAGAGTAAGGTTAAAGCACACTTGAAACAGCAGTGATCTGACTTGCAAATTTAACTAGACTATCATAGCGCCCTCTATCGTTGAACCAAATCTCTTTTTCCGACAGTATTTACCAGGCAGCTGTTTCGTAGTCATCAGCCAGGACTCTTCTAATAGCAGTGAATTTATAAATTGTAACCAGGGCTCGGAAATCAATTCTGATACAAATTTGGCCTTGTTCTGAGTAACACAACCTCGCCTGCCCTAATTGCAGAAATAGTTGGGGCTGTTACCACAGGCTGCTGCATAAACACAGATACGGGGCACTACGTAATTAAAATAGCAAGAATAGGGCAGGTTGTGTTGATTAAATCCTCGCAAGCTCAAAAACCTGAAATAGTTTGAATTAAAATGGCGATGATGAAGAAAATCAGGTTGCCAGACTTTCGTATTGTACAATGTATATTTTCGCTGTCTGTCATTTGGAGGAATCAATCGTTTAAATCTTATTTATTTTGCCTGGTATATATAACTGTCGAGCCTCCCCTCCTGTTTTTGGCTAGAAATTTCTAAACCCCCTCAAAATTGTGGTATGGTACAACCTTAAAAAAAACAGAGCAATTACATGTAGGCCTACAGTAGGACAGACAGTCAGAAGCTTGGTTCTCGTGCTCCATCCTGAATCCTGTCCTATCATAGATTTTCTGACAGAGTAAGTTAACTTAGAGCTGTAAATTTTTTCCGTCCTTGGGTGCCTCATGTTCCCTCAGGGATCTCACTCATCTCACCAGACATGATAGCAACGCATTTAGTTCATGAATCAAATGCAAAAATCCAAAACCAACCTCAGAAAACCTCTCTCCCCCCTTTTTTTTGGGGGGGGGGGTGGAATAACCATTCCCCTCTTCCAAAGATTGAAATAGCTTGCATTGGGAATTTGTGTTTTCCTTCCACTGATAGCTGTGTGTTGTTTACCCCTGTTGCTATGCTAACTGAGGAGAGTGGCACAAAGAGGAACCTCCCTTCCAAAGAAAATACTTTGTTGAATCAGTTTTGTTGTGACACACCTCATCCTGGGTGCATGCAGGAATGCTCACCTCATATTATTTTATGGGGTTTTGTGGCAAGTAAACAGGTCCCCAACGCCGTACAATTTGTCCTCACAACTGCTTTGTTCTGTGCCACGGTCCTTGGCTATCTGTCCTATTTTTGTTCTGTTTATCACTGTGAATATTTAAACATACTAAGCTCATTACCTTTGTACGTTGTACGTGTACCTTTGACGTTGGATGTGCCTTTCAAAAAGTTGATGTTTGAATGTGGGAAGGTTTTGGGGAAATGGTTCCATAGTGATGGAACCAGATACATGTACTCTCCATTTTTGGTCTCGTGCCAAGTACCTGCCTACCCGTCACTGCAGAGAAAATGTTTCAGGCCATTGTGGGAGCATTATACAGTGTGGCTCGCTTTGATGACAGCACACTAGATCGATAATGAAATGTATATACAACTCGTACATGTATCTGGGTGTAGCAGTATTGTTATATTGGCATTGTGCTCAACAAATGAAACTTGACAGGCCAATTTGACTCCCTGCCAGCTTGTGTTTAGGCTACTCAACAAAATGAATGGAGGTTTATGCTAAATACTGGGCCTACACATAATCTGCAGCATTTAACGCGAAATTTGGGACTTGTTTAATGGCATGAGCTTTGTGGTAGATCTTCAATTTATTGTCTTTGAGTGCACCATGGATTTGCAGCAACAGTGTATAATCAGTGTTCCAGGGCTTCATTGATCATTCAGACAAAATGCTTTCAGTGGTATAATGACTTGTAAGTGTCATTTTAACGTATACATACACTAGTACTAGTACAGATACCGCTACATGTATTGCTTTTCAAGAAGTAGTTACAGTTAAGCACCCAGATGTATAATACTCCATGTACATGTACGTTTACATGTACGTGGAGTCAGATTTTTAGCTGAATGTGCACAACCTGTGTTTCAAGTCTTCCTAGCATATGGCCCAGAATGCATGGCAACAGCATGACTCCGTTGTCCATCACCCGTCTCTGTTTAACCTGTAAATTTTTAAGGGAAAGGGCTACCTGTGCTTGGAATTCAAAGGGTCAAGCTACTCAAGTACAATACACCTTATTTCTCAAGGAAACAACTTTTAAAAATCTTGTTCTGTGAATCTGTTTTATGATATATAAACTGTTGATTTGGATGGTATCAGACTGTGTGATGATTGACGGGCATTCCAAGCTCCAACTATTCAAAATTTGGCTCAAAACACTTGATGTGTTGAATCACAAATACGCAATTATTAATCATACGGGGCAGGATTCAGTGTGTCATGTAAGTTCATTTTATTGTTTTGATTCAATGAGGAGTTAATGCCTTGTTCAATTTCAACATGGCTGACCCAGACCCAAGTCTATTGAAAAACTGACTGCATATACAGGAGGCCAGGTTTGATCTGGTTGATTTTGCCAGGTACCGGGTAACCTACATATATATACATGTATATGTCAAACAAATTCAACTGGTGGTTGACTCATACATATAGCCAATCAAGACGGTTGAGATAGGGAATATAACGGGCATACCGTGTGTTGTATTATTTTTCAGTAGGCTGTACATGTACATTGGAATATTTAGGACACGTACTTACATTGTGCATGTATGATATGTGGTACGTTAATTTTTTTTGGTTTATTTATAAGTCGTAGGGTTAGGAGCGTACTTTAACAGCCTGATATCTTTTTAAATTCAAGGCTAATTGGCATGGTAGATCCATACTGTAGTAACAGAGGCTGTCGCTATGACAACAAAGAAATTACCTAATAAGATGTCATAGATGTTATGTCAGGTGGCAGGTCTCCAATGGTTAACGCTGAATGTTACCTTAGTAGTGTCCCAATCTATTTTTAATGGTAATAGGATATGTCTGGATTTCAGATTGTACTGGCAGAGAGCTCCATGTAGGCTTTTGCTATCCTCCACATTTCCTGCCGGATACTGTTTGCTCTATAGGAGCCAGTTACCCAAGGCATGTTTCGAGCCCGAAGAATTTTTTAGACTTCATTTTTGGACTTTGAACGTTATTGCAATTTTTCCTCGAGAGTTAAGCACGGCCGTACATTGAACTACCAGATTACAGACTGTGATGTCATAACTAGAGTCTGCACAGAGTTATCTTCAAAGGAGACAAAAATACATGGGAAGACAGCACAGGGTTTTTGTGCATATTCAGACGGAAATAAGAGTATCTGCATTGCACAACAAAGTGCCTGCACACGTTGTTGCCCCGCAGCAGAGCTCTAGTGACATGACATTTTTGACACATTGGCATCATCTATTCTTGCATCAAGTCCATGGATCTGGCGCAGTGTACCATTTGAATGCACATCCCTCTAATGATTAATTATGCAAAAAGATACCAAAGTGCCTGAGAAGCTTTCACACGAATTTTGAAGGTGAACACTTTGTAATTAATTTCTGACAGAGTGGCAACATGAACAAGCCAACAGCAAACCGTGAGTGTACTTCACGCCAACAGACAAAGAGCATATTACAGGACGTGATTAATTGCAGTGCTCAGCCTATCTAATTTTTATTGGTTTCGTCAAGAAGCCCCCCTTCCTTCTCTGCGTTCGAGTAATTCGGATGGGGTTGGTGTGTAATTAGCTGTAGTATGGGGATTCTGCTTTGATTAGATCTGTCTGTATGTTGAAGTGAGTTAGCATTCATCCTGACACGCCGCTGGGCAGACTTGAACTGCGTTGTATGTTGTTTCACTTCACTTAGGCCGTAGTTACTGAAATACGGGTATCAAAGGAAAGGAACAATCAACAAAACAGAACATTGGGACCTTGATTGTCCAGTTGAGGTTTTGAGACGCCAAAGTTTGACTAGCATTCTCTCGTCTGGTGGACAGAAGTAATGACATGTTGCATAAACCCTTTCATTAACTCTTTTCCATTCCAAATGTTACCATTCTCACTACAGAATTCATCCAGTTCATATAACGTGCAGCGTGGGATGATTTCATGTCTTGCAATTTTCCCAGCAAATTGACACCTATTACAGTAAACATGTCATGAAAATGAATCCAACGTTTCTCTACTTCATAATTCCAGTGGCTGAATCAACATCGGAGATCATTTTAAACAGAAAACTAATTTATTTTCTAAACAGGA